CAGAAAAACGGCCAGAGTTGCGTGGCGGGCGATACTTATTGTAAGTTATTTTTGTTTTGTTTTAATAACGAAACGTCTTTCCCAGAAAGATTCGTAGTATAGCATTTCATCTTGATGCTGCATTTCTCGTCTCCAAGTGTTTCTTGGAGACGAGAATTCAGTATTTTGTCTTTCTGGGAAGGATTTGATATCATTTTGCTGATGACGGAATTGCTGGAACCAGCTGTTGTGTGGGAATAGTTAGTCTCAGGTTGGTATGAGACAAACTTGCAACTAGAAAGGCAATGCGACTTTTTTTTGGTGGCCTCGCCCAGGTGGTCCCATTAGGAGGGGTCCACTAGGAGGAGGGGTCCCTGGACTTGTTATATATTCTCAATTCAGTCCACGCCTCGTCAGAAGCACTCCAGCAGGACTCTGGAATCACTGAAGGAACTGTTCTAGGTCTGAGCCTTCGCCATGAAACTTGTGAGTAACAAGGCTGTCACTTTAGACTTAACACGACATCTGTTTCAAGTCTGAAGCAGCTCATTACTTTTTATAATTTTAGTCAAACTCTCCTTAGCCTAATCTAATCGAGTGATGGATAATATATCCAGATATTCCAAAAGTCTGACTAGATTTTCTTAGCCTTATATATGTGCACTTGATTAATAATAAATTCCGTATTGTCACCTTCTAGTTGGAACAACTGTAATCATTATCTGTCGGAGGCCCTTTAGAGAGCATGGAACATTAGGAGAGCGTGAGGAGTGAAAAACAGTATGAATCAGTGAATGATTCTTCTCATTAGTTTTGCATTATCTGCAAACACCAAAGTCCACTACGGGCTCACCATAGCCCGTGCTACTTGGAACGTTTGTTCCGAGTAGCTGAATCTTCAACAACAACAACTGCAAACACTGATTGCGTGCGTGTGTGTGAGTTCTATTTGTGCCTGCAAGATCAAGCTATTAGCTCTTGGAACCCGCCTTTCTAACCGTCGGTTGTCTAATACACTGATTCCCTACTTATTTTCCTCTATCATATCTATAACATATCTCACACACACACATCCACAGGATGCAGCCCGTAGCAGCCATAACTCCCAGGAACCTATTTACTGCTAGGTGAACAGATGCATCAGGTTTTAATCAAGACTTCCCTCTCTTGAATATCAGCGACATCAGCCTCAATTCATGAAGCCTTTCCTCAAAACTCATACCTCATCATTCTGGAACCAGTCTCGTGACATTCCTTATTTTGAAGCTTCTCCAACTTGTTCTTAACTAGGTACGTCTTGTACTTAACTAGGTACGGGCTCCACGCTGGGGCTGCATACTCCAGGATTGCTCTGACATATGTTGTATACAAGGTTCTGAATGATTCGTTACATAAATATCTAAATGCAGCCCTTTTGTTAGCCTTACACATGCTACTTATGATATCCTGTTCATGTGGGCTTCTGGAGTCAGGTTCAGTGTGATACCAGGCTCTAGATCCTCCTCCTCCGTGTACTCACCTAGTTGTGCTTGCGGGAGTTGAGCTCTGGCTCTTTGGTCCCGCCTCTCAACTGTCAATCAACAGGTGTACAGGTTCCCGAGTCTATTGGGATCTATCATATCTACACTTGAAACTGTGTATGGAGTCGGCCTCCACCACATCACTTCCTAATGCATTCCATTTGTCAACCACTCTGACACTAAAAAGGTTCTTTCTAATATCTCTGTGGCTCATTTGGGCACTCAGTTTCTACCTGTGTCCCCTAGTGCGTGTGCCCCTTGTGTTAAATAGCCTGTCTTTATCTACCCTATCAATTCCCTTGAGAATCTTGAATGTGGTGATCATGTCCCCCCTAACTCTTCTGTCTTCCAGCGACCGTGTGTGTGTGTGTGTGCTTCAGTGTACGTTTTTGACTATGTGAACACATATCTTTGTTGTTTCGAAGCTCTTTTTTTTACGGTTATCTCAGGAAAAGTGAATACATGTTTCTCTGTACCGATAAGTTATCACAAAAAGAGTACTACGACTCCATGTTATATTCACCAAACTCTTTTTCTCTCATTTCAGTTTATTTTTAGTGTGGCCTTACTGCTGGCTTTGGTTGTGTTGCTGAAGCCAGCTGCAGCCTTTCCCGGGCCGGATGCCTACCCCAATGCTGACCCAGGTCCTCTGGCTTGCGTTTGGCATGCTGGTGGGTATGGAAGACGGGGGCGTTGAGCCCCATTGCCCTCAACCCACACACCAACTCACTGTATAAGGAGATCACCACTACCCCAGCAAGGTCCAAGGATCAAGAGCCAGACGATATACACCAACCCTTACTAGCACCTATATTCTGATATTGCTATTTTCTGACATCACTATGTGTCGACACCATCATGTGTCGACACAAGTGTATTCTGTATACAGTAACTACTCAGATATACTGACATTGTGCTGCACTTTTGATAACTCCCTTATTAAAAAAATGTCGTTGGACTAAAAAAAAATAATAATTGTGAATCTGAAGTCTTATTTGATCCTAATATAAGAACCTCATGCATCTAAGAAAAATAATGAGTGATGTAATAGAGCCTCTGTTGGTAGCATCTATTGAGCTGAGCCTCTATAGTAGTAGACGAGGAGTCACAACGTGGCTGAAATATGTTGACCAGATCACACACTAGAAAGTGAAGGGACGACGACGTTTCGGTCCGTCCTGGACCATTCTCAAGTCGATTGTGATGAGGGGAAGGAAATCTTAGAGGAAAAAAAGGAAGGCAAAAGGTACGAAAGGTAAGGTGTAATAAGGGAAATAATAATAGGAATAAGAAAAGGATCGTAAGAGAAAACAAGGGAAAGAAAAGAACGAAAGACTTTTTATATGACTCAGTGATAATATAATCAGTAATTGATATTCATCATAAAGTCCCATAGAGAAAAGAAACTCAATTTTGTGTTGGCATATTCGAACAAGTTTAATACTCATAACTGGCAACTGATTTCACTGGCTCTGAACATACCATATACGAATATAACGTGATGAAAGATATTCATCACGTAATATTCGTGATGAATATCTTTCATATGATGAGTCTTATTCATCACCTTAGAGGAGAGAAGAGGTTTAACCTCATTAGGATGACAGCAAATTGTCATAATATTGCCATAAAATATCTTAAGTAGCAAAATAATGAAACAAAAGTGAACAATGAAATAAAAGAAATTACAAAACAGCAAATGTGTTCACGCTGCATTGATGAGTTAGATTAGTGAAAAACCCGCAATATATTTCTTTCTTGGGATAAAAAAAAAATGGTACAAATATATCATAACTATTACAATTCCCCATTACTAGTAGACTTGCTGTCAGTCAGTGGAATGTTGCTGGAAGATTGTTGATCACAGTTATCTTGAGGTTATCTTGAGATGATTTCGGGGCTTAGCGTCCCCGCGGCCCGGTCCGCGATCAGGCCTCCTTTTTGTTACACACCCCCAGGAAGCAGCCCGTAGCAGCTGTCTAACTCCCAGGCACCTATTTACTGCTAGGTTAACAGTAGCATTAGGGTGAAAGAAACCCTGTCTATTTGTTTCCGCCTCCACCGGGGATCGAACCCGGAACCTCAGGACTATGAATCTGAAGCGCCATTCACTCAGCTGTCAGGCACTTTTAACATCACAACATCTGATGTCTCAGTGTAATTGTCCAGTTGTTTTTTTCCCTTCACAACTGCTCACAACAAAGGAGTTGTTTATATGACCTTCAGCGCCTCTCCTCATCTGTTGTTGTTGCTTCCTTACATTCCGGTATTGTATTATTGAGTGTTCCAATTGTATTCGTAACTACGATTGCTATTTTGTTTCTTCTGCCCGTTTTGAAGGATGTTTTGATGAGATTCAAACATTGATGTTTTGTCTTTGTTATTCTGTTCTCTGTTGAGGCAGTACTATCATGCTGGGGCCGGGGGGGGGAGGTGAGGCGGGGGAGGAGGCAGGTCACTGCGTATGCTCAGGTGGACAACACTTGCTCAGCGGGTGAGGGAGAGGGTGTGAGGGAGTCACATGATATGTATGTATTGTATACCTCGGAACTTTTCCTCGTGTATGTGTACTTACCTTACCTATGTATGTGTACTTACCTTACCTATGTATTTGTACTTACCTTACCTATCTGTGTGTGTGTGTGTAATTACCTAAGTGTACTTACAGGATGAGAGCTACGCTCGTGGCGTCCCGTCTTCCCAGCACTTTTTGTCATATAACGCTTTGTGTGTGTGTGTGTGTGTGTGTGTGTGTGTGTGTGTGTGTGTGTGTGTGTGTGTGTGTGTGTGTGTGTGTGTGTGTGTATGTGTGTGTGTGTGTGTGTGTATTTTCAATTAGTGTCTGCAGGATCGAGCTATTTGCTCTTGGACCCCGCCTATCTGACCAATCTATTTTTCCTCTATTATATCTACTACATATATTTCTTCCTAACACACACATATCCCCAGGAAGCAGACCGTAGCAGCTGTCTAACTCCCTGGTACCCGTTTACTGCTAGGTAAACAGATACATCAGGATGAAAGAAACTGCCTATATGTTTCTATATATATATATATATATATATATATATATATATATATATATATATATATATATTTATATTTATATATATATATATATATATATATATATATATATATATATATATATATATATATATATATATATATATATATATATATATATATATATATATATATATATAACAATCAGAAATACATGAATATAAAGAAACACATGTATATCTCTATAACCATTCATAAGCACTAATACTGTGATAAATTTATACAACCGTAAACGTATCACATTGTTGTTGTTAAAGATTCGCTACCTGGAACAAAGTTCCAAGTAGCACGGGCTATGGTGAGCCCGTAGATAACGTATCACAGCTTCCATGCTTCTAACACTTACATCAGTCCATCTGAGCCCAAACATTTTGGAAACTTATATAACTGATTGAAGAGTTTGCGTGGCGGATGATACTTGTCACAAGACTTAAATCCATTTTTTTGTTTTGTTTTAATGGCGAAACGTCTTTCCCAGAAAGATTCGTAGTATAACATTTCATCTTGATGCTGCATTTCTCGTCTCCAAGTGTTTCTTGGAGACGAGAATTCAGTGTTTTGTCTTTCTGGGAAGGATTTTATATCATTTTGCTGATGACGGAATTGCTGGAATTAGCTGTTGTGTGGGAATAGTCGTTCTTATGTTGGTCTGAGACAAACTTGCAACTAGAAAGGCAATGCAACTTTTTTCTTGGTCCTTCCCGCCCATGTCAAGCCCCTAGGAGGGGGACCTCTAGGAGGGGGCCCTGTAGGAGGAGGGCCCCCTGGACTTGCTATATATTCTCACTACAGTCCCCTCCTCGTCAGAAGCACTCCAGCAGGACTCTGGAATCATTGAAGGAACTGTTCTGGGTCTGAGCCTTCACCATGAGACTTGTGAGTACCAAGACTGTCACTTTAGACTTGACACGACATCTGTTTCAAGTCTGAAGCAGCATATTCCTTTTTTATAAGTTTAGTCAAATTCTCCTAAGCCTTTTCTAATCGAGTGATGGATAATATATCCAGATATTCCAAAAGCTGACTAGATTTTCTTAGCCTTTTTTGATTACTTTAATAGTGAGAAATTCCGTATTGTCACCTGTTTAATAGGAAGAAATGTAATCATTACCTGTCGGAGGCACTTTGGAGAATAGGGAACATTAGGAGAGCGTGAGGAGTGAAAAGCATTATGAGTCAGTGACTCTTCTCATTAGTTTTGCATTATCTGCAAACACCAAAGTCCACTACGGGCTCACCATAGCCCGTGCTACTTGGAACGTTTGTTCCGAGTATCTGAATCTTCAACAACAACTGCAAACACTGATTGCGTGCGTGCGTGCGTGCGTGTATTTACCTAGTTATATTCACCTAATTGTGTTTGCGGGGGTTGAGCTCTGCTCTTTCGGCCCGCCTCTCAACTGTCAAACAACTGTTTCTACTACTACTATTACTACTTTCCCCCCCCCCACACACACACACCACACCCACACACACCAAGAAGCAGCCCGTGACAGCTGACTAACTCACAGGTACCTATTTACTGCTAAGTAACAGGGGCATAGGGTGAAAGAAACTCTGCCCAATGTTTCTCGCTGGCGCCCAGGATCGAATCCGGGACCACAGGATCACGTGTACAGTGTGCTGTCCGCTCGGCCGGCCGGCTCCACACACATAGTGTGTGTGTGTGTGTGTGTGTGTGTGTGTGTGTGTGTGTGTGTGTGTGTGTGTGTGTGTGTGTGTGTGTGTGTGTGTGTGTGTGCGTGCGCGCGAACTTCAATGTACGCTTTTGACTATTTGAACACATCTCTTTGCTCACATAGAATAATTTATTTATTTTAAGCTCTTTTTACGGTTATCTCAGGAAAAATGAATACATGTTTCTCTGTACCGATAAGTTATCACAAAAAGAGTACTACGACTCCATGTTATATTCACCAAACTCTTTTTCTCTCATTTCAGTTTACTTTTAGTGTGGCCTTACTGCTGGCTTTGGTTGTGTTGCTGAAGCCAGCTGCAGCCTTCCCCGAGCCGGATGCTGACCCAGGTCCTCTGGCTGACCCCCACAGGTGGGGAGGTGGATGGGGAGGTGGTGGTTGGGGAGGTGGATGGGGAGGTGGTTGGGGTAGGGGTCGATGGGGTGGTGGTGGGTGGGGATGGGGGCGCTGAGCCCCATTGCCCTCAACCCACACACCATCAACTCACTGCATAAGGAGATCACCACTACCCCAGCAAGGTCCAAGGATCAAGAGCCAGACGATATACAGCAACCCTTACTAGCACCTATATTCTGATACTGCTATTTTCTGACACCACTATGTGTCGACACTACTAAGTGTCGACACAAGTGTATTCTGTATACAGTAACTACTAAGCTATACTGACATTGTGCTGCACTTTTGATAACTCCCTTATTAAAAAATGTCGTTGGACTAAAAAAAATAAAATAATTGTGAACCTGACGTCTTATTTGACCCTAATATAAGAACCTCATGCATCTAAGAAAAATCATGAGTGATGTAATAGAGCCTCTGTTGGTAGCATCTATTGAGCTGAGCGTCGCTGGTAGTGATTGCTAACCTAGCGTCCGCAGAGCACCGGGGCTCCATAAGGACGTGTCTGGGATTCCGTGAAAATTTGCAAAAGCTTGTGGAAAAAAAGTACTGCTTATCGCCTTTTTGTGTAATTGAATACAAAATAATTATGAAGTTTTTAACGTGATCTATTAGTAAATAATGCAACCACAAATTAAGTTATTGTAGTCTATAAAGCAAGCCCAAGATTCACATGAACTTAGGAAGCCATTAGAATCAATGTTATTCTATTGAATCTTGAATCATTTTCAATTAAAAAAGCATTATAAAACAATAAATTAAAAATCGTTTTTTCGTTAACGGCCTTACTAAAAAATATTATATTAACACAAAATGATCACATAGTATATACGTAATGTTTCATAACAGAACATCTTGGAACGTGTTTAATTTACACCTGACAACTATATTCACTACCTTGAGAGATGCCTTAAATAAATATGTTCTGAACAATGACAAAGACCTTGTAGCAGAGAACCTGTTGGTCCTCATTGAAGTGACAGCAAGGTGGTAATATTATTATCAAGTATCTTGCGTCACCAAATATCTCACGAAGGAAAGGTAAACAATTATATTTAAAATAAAATTAAAAAAATAAATATTTAAAATCTGGGATAAATTGGCGAAAAATACATTTGGGAGAGGTTGGTATGACGTCAAAATCTAGCATATATAACTATTTAGGAGCCCGGACCACCTTCACTCGAGCGCCACGCTTGTGCCTCGCCTCCTACAACATACAACACGTCGTCCTATAACAGGTGTTGTGAGTGTGTGGGGGGGGGGGGGCAGAGTGCTATTATGTCCAGTAGTCTCTATAGCCTGTCCGAGACCTTGATGGCCAAGGTGAACAGTGTTTATCTAAGGCGTATATACACAAATACATTCACGAACGCTTACACACACACACACACACACACACACACACACACACACACACACACACACACACGAGGCTCGTCCCTGGACCATGAGGTATGGAGGAAGAAAGGTTGAAGAATGTATTGACGCCGGAAAAGATAAAACAAAAAGCAGAGGAACACACATAAGAGGCGGGACCAAAGAGCCGAAGCTCAACCCCCGCAAGAACAACTTGAGTACAACTAGGTGAGTAAAAAATAAGCCAGATTGAAGCCTAAATGATAACAGTTCATACTCAAGTCGATTGTGAGAATGGTCCAGGACGGACCGAAACGTCGTCGTCCCTTCACCTTCTAGTGTGTGGTCTGGTCAACATACTTCAGCCACGTTATTGTGACTCATCGCCTGCATAACAGTTCATAATTAATAATATTACTGAAGATTGTATATTTTGGCCTGCATTAAACAGTAAGGTAAGGTAATTATCAGGGAAAAGCGCTAAGCTAATACGACCATAGAGCACTTGGAAGGGACATGAGGATAAGAATTTAGGATAGGACGGACCTGGACGCTCCAGGATTGAATGCCAGCCTACAAGAAGCGAGCCTGCCTCTCTGCCGTCCAATCCAGGTGGTTGGGATAGGCGTTAAACAGTAAACACCAAACATTTCACCGTATTGACCAATCTGTCTTGAGTACTTCATCTTCCCTCACTCTGACAGTGATGCAAGGAGAACGTGTTCAATAGATACACAAAATAAATGGCAAGTTATGGGATGTGACAAAGGGCAGGTGACCTTGCATAACAGCGAAGACAGAAGCAACTCAGTGACTCAGCAGGTCTGGGCTCCGCTGGGCGTCGACCTCATGAGGAACAACAGACAGGCAAGATGATTTTCCCTTCCCTCTCTATCTCTTCTTTGTTTATCTATCGGTTGTCAGGAATAACTGACTTTGACGTCTCTAAATCAGTCGAGATCTAGAGCTCTTAGATAACAGTGATCAGTTTCGTTTTCAGTTAGCATTCAGAGGGAATGAATTTGAGTGAATGAATGAATTCATCCTAATGAATTTCTTAACATTTCTTCTTCGTGAAGGATTACAATAAATTGTTGACGTATAATCACAAAAACGCAAGCGGCTTGTCTTTACAAGGGCGCTGCTCTCAAAAGCTGAAATACGTGGAATTGAATGTGGCTTCGCTTGAATATGAAACCTGTTTCTTATTCAAGTAATCGAAATTTTCTCGAACAATGCTTCACTCACGTTCTCTTTTTAAATCACACCTCTCTAAATGTTTCACCACGTACTGTAAATACAAATAATTTCCAGTAGAACATAAACACCAAACCAAACCTAATCTAGGCCCAACCATACACCAAACTCAAACATGAAATGATATTCAATATGTATAAAAATAAATGTTTGAATACAGTACGATGAAACTGATGAACATCTAATGAGTAGGACCCTGCTCATGCAGTGTCCTACCCTTCAGGGTCATGCAGGGTCCTACCCTTCAGGCTCGTTCATACGAGCCTGAAGACTGGTTGTTACGAAGATGTGTCTTCGTTCGAGGTGCACCCAATCTACCCCACCAGTGGAGAAGAGTCACGAACCCAGGAGTGAGTGAGCTCGCTACCCGGGCATCACTGTGACTGCCTCAGAAACCTGCACTTCCCCTTCCAACACAAGGGATCAAGGGGACCTCACCTGGAGGTCAGTGACGAGTGAAAGGGAGGAACTTTCTTCTGGGACTTTATTTAACCAATAAATATGTAAACAAGACAGTCTGTGATGAATTGTCTGGCGGTTTAATTTTGTAAATAATTCAGAAAATACGGATAAGACACAAACGAAGATCATAACGCAAGATTCGTGAATCAGTTTCTTAGTTCAATCGAGTGACAAAAAAAATTTGTAATGAACATACAGCCTCTTTAGGCAGATATAAGTATGACTCTGAGCATTATCCTGTCTGTGAGCACCCACATCATAACTGTCTGTGAGCACCCACATCAAAACAATGTCTGTGAGCACCCACATCATAACAATATCTGTGAGCACCCACATCAAAACAATGTCTGTGAGCACCCACATCATAACTGTCTGTGAGCACCCACATCAAAACAATGTCTGTGAGCACCCACATCATAACAATATCTGTGAGCACCCACATCAAAACAATGTCTGTGAGCACCCACATCATAACTGTCTGTGAGCACCCACATCAAAACAATGTCTGTGAGCACCCACATCAAAACAATGTATGTGAGCACCCACATCAAAACAATGTATGTGAGCACCCACATCAAAACAATGTCTGTGAGCACCCACATTAAATAATCACTATACACAGCGTTTCCGACCACAAATATATTCAGTGAACATTGAGGAGGGATAAACCGGGGAAACCCGTGCATGGTAAAAAAATACGTTATTTGTTTGAAGCGACTGCGTAGTAGCCAGACTGGTTCTTACTTGTTAAGGAAGGCTACGTATGATGTGGGATGGGCCGTGCTGGCTTAGGAAACCTGCGCAGGAGGCCAGTTAGTCAGTACTGGTTTAGGAAGGCTGACTAGGAGGCCAATTGGTCCGTTGGTTTCAGAAAACTACGTAGTATGAGAGCTGATTCATACCGGTTAGAGTCAAAACTTCCCAATTGCGTTTGCTATAGTTAACCTTCGATTTCCCCCCCCCCCCCATCCTCTGAGATTTCTCGGCTCTGTCATAAGAACAAATGAAGTTGTGTATTCTACTTATTATTATTATTATTAACATCTTTATTGACAAAATTATAATTTTGCCTAATCTGAGGATATTCTGCTGGTTCAATACCTTGACATAGACAAATATCGCTATGGCACATTTCGGCACTTAATTTCCATATGTTTCTCTTTGTGTTCATACCGTTCTAAATTATTTGTTGTGCAACCCATCCTCCGAATTGACAGTACGTTTTAATACTAAATGAAATAAGTGCATTTCCTGACTGTTATACATAGTACATAATTGCACTTATGGGGCTGTTATATTTACCCATCCCCCTCCCCCGATTTAAATCTCCTCGTTTTCTGTTAGGACACTTATAATTTTAAGATGAAATTTAAACATTCAGTTGCTAAACAAGTTTTAAATATTTGAATTTTCTTTTTCACTTTTATTAAACAATAGAGATTTTATACAAAAATTGAAAATATCCTGAGTTACTTTACAATTTATTGAAATATTTTAGTTTTATTTTATAAAACTGTAATATCAATATAGCTATAGATTAAGTAGTAGTTATAATTAAGATGCAATAAAATTCTTATCTTCACAAACTAAGATGGTTAGGTTAGGTCGTGGTTTTCTATTCAGCTTTTGAGGTAAACTCAAATATTCACAATATATTTGACTACGATTTAATACTTAGTGTAAATAAGAACAATTCTTAACTGTTATACATAGAACATAATTGCACTTATGGGGCTCTGTACATTTACCTACCCATTTTTGGAGGACGGGCTGCTGTTGTTATATTCCCCTAAAATTGTGTATTTGGTAATCATGTCTCCCCTAGCTCTTTTGCCTTTCAGTAACGTGCGGTTTAGTATTTCCTCATAACTAATCACTCTCAGCTGGTTACGGGCTCACTATAGCCCGTGCTCCATGGAAATTGTGTTCCGAGTAGCTGAATCAAACACAACAAAAACATCGACAACCTCTCAGCTCTGGTATTAGTTTAGTGGTAATCCTCTGGACGTTCTTAGCTGCGTATTATATTAAGCCAGTTAAAAGTTTACCATTGAACCCTTACCTCTACCCATCATGGAAGTACCTGGACCCTTAATGGAACCCTTTGCTACTGTTCAAAGAAGACCCTGGACCCTTCAACCCGTATCAAGTCTTAATGGACTCGAGTCCATTACACCCAGTGGTTGACCCTACAGAGGCATTCATAAATTTTAACATGCTGTTCATTCAAAACAGGAATTTTCTCAAATATAAATTAATATTATATATTAGCACATTGTACATATATTGGCATAGGTTAGGTTAGATGTCTAGGTTCTGTTGGCGATTATTTGTATTTGTATTACGTGGGTGAAGCATTTACAGCGTTGTGGTTCGAACAAAATTCGTCAGTGAAGCACTTGTTCCGGAAGTGTTCGAACGAAATCAGTTCTGAGTCGTGTGTAAACCGTTTTTCATTCATAAACAGGGGGTTTAGCGGGTGCATGGAATCACTTTTGGGTCTTTATTTGGAGGACGGGCTGGACCTCTAAAGGAACTTTTCACTACCGTTCAGAGACGACCCTGAACCAGTTATGACGACCTCTGCTACAGTTTAGGTTCATATCGAGAGCTTTGGATTCAAGTTATATTTCAGTTTGCCAACTACTTTCGAGACCATCAGACATTAATGCGTGAAAGAGAAACTAGTAGTTAACGGTGCATCACAGAAAATCGCTAATTACTCTAGAAAGGTTCAGCAAGGCCCTTATCTCGTGCCGGGGAAACATGGTGGTTCAGTAGTTCACATATAGCACGAATCAATAATGTCATGGAATTCTTTATAAAAAAAACGAATTTAATGGACATGTTTACATCACAGCAATAGACATGAAACACGCTAAAAAGAACTAAAAATAACACACGCAAGAAGAACACCCACAATAGGAACACCCAAAACAAAAACAACCCACAACAGGAACAACCACAACAGGAACGCCCACAATGGGAACGCCCACAATAGGAACACCCACAACGGGAACACCCACAACGGGAACACCCACAACGGGAACACCCATACACACAAATCAAGAACGTCAGGCGGGGAAGACGCACCTGTATCAACGGAGTAGCCTTCGTGTTTCCCTTGCTAGAGGCGCCAGTCACAGAGTCAACAGGACGATCGACCCCCCAAGGCTTCTCGGGCTGGGCTCCTCCATTGTCAGGATGTCTGTAGTGATATATATATATATATATATATATATATATATATATATATATATATATATATATATATATATATATATATATATATATATATATATATTCCAGTATCCGTCTGAACTTCTGATGTATGAATATGAAAGTAATTAAGGAATTTCCGGTCTCATTTTCCTTCAGACTTTGTTTAATTGATTTTAAAATTAAGATTACCATGAAGATCCTCTATCGTGTATAAATGTTAAAATACAATGACAAAACGTATTATATATAAGGTGTGGCTGGAGAAGAGTATACGTGAGTGCCCTACACGGCTGGGTGCTACATACCCTCTTCTTCGAGGCCAAGGGTCCCGAGAAAAAACTTACTTAACTAAACACATGTTGCTAAAATCTAGATTAAATTAAAAACAATGCAATATAACGAATTTATACAAAACTGTTCAGAATAAAACTCAAAAATAGTACTTACATTATAGTTTAGTGGGGTAGAAATTAATATATATATATCTTTAAATTTTATATTCTTATTAAAATATATAAACGAAAAATCCATAATAATAAAAATTTATACAAATTAAATTAAATTTTAAAAGACTATTAACCAGTACTATAAAGTTTCAACTTAATTATTACAAAAGATAATTAATGTAAAATAGGTTCGGTAACTAGCAGTAATTACAAGCAATAATAATCAGATTCTGTAATATAAAAATTAATAAAATTGGAGCAAAATAAATATTTTTAATGGGAAGACTAATGAAATTGGTTAAAACGTAACCAATAAAGGAACACAGAGGGGATATTATTATTCAATAAGGAACAAAGTTCTTCAACATATAAAGACCATTATTCTTAGATCAACAGAGCCATTATTATATATATCTAAAATTGTGTAACTAGACTCATTGAAAGGATAATCCTCTTAGTGAGAATTATCAGTATTTTCGTACGACAGCTGCATTGGGACTGGACGGTAGAGCGACGGTCTCCCTTCTTGCAGATCGGCGTTCAATCCCCGACCGTCCAAGTAGTTGGCACCATTCCTTCCCCCCGTCCGACCCCAAATCCTTATCCTGACCCCTTCCCAGTGCTATATGGTCCTAATGGCTTGGCTCTTCCCCTTGATAATCCACTCCACTCCTTCATGTTTCAACATCCTTATTTTGAAGTTCCTAATGATCGTGTAGATACATTAATTGACAGCTGTATCTGTGGCAGCTGTCAATGTATCTAATATTACAGCTGGAACAGCTGTATGAGTACATGATACTGGAATATAATTGATTGGGCAGCATGTCCTTCTATTTCAGATGGGAACCAATGATATTCAAATTAATTAAGGAAAATATAAAATCTAAGGATAACACTAATTTCCTCAGCTGATTTATGATAGTTCATAAAACTATAATATGGTTATTTAATATAACTCAGATCTTTCTTCGCAGTAAAGATCTGAGCAGACACAATTTATCCTATAACAAACTTCCTATGGAGGTTTGTACCAAATGGAAAAGATAATCATTATTTGAGAAATCTTCTGTAAGATCTTGATTTCAAGATCGAAGCTGTACCAAGTAGAGCAAAATGCATAAGCTCTATTCACCTTGGTTTTAATTATGTTCCTTCTAAATGTCTCGGGGATAAACAAATGAAAGTCAATACACAGTTATAAAAAAAATGCGTTTCGCTGAAACACTATTCAGCATCTTATGAGGCAGAGGGAACTTGAATATAAATCTAAGGAGACGAAGTTATATATTTGTTCTATATTACCCTACCGAAGAGACACGGTAAGCTTCCCTTGCATTCTCATTGGTCTCTTGGGGCTGTAGGTGCTGTAAACTAGTGGTTCTGTCTTAGTAATGTGGAGGAAAGCATATGGTAAACTGCATCTTATGCTTAGCGTTGATTGGGGTTAAATTTATGCCGATTACATCTTGCAAGACTCGTGCCTCTATCTTGTTGGCTGTTGAAGAGAAGTTCACGTTGAAGAGTTTAATAGGTAAAACAGTTTCTTTAGTGTGGACCTCTTCCTTATAAGTATCATGGCGGTTCACCATTCTTATAAAGACACCTTCAACAGCGTTTCTGCCCGAAACGCTTTGCGTAATAGTGGCTTTAGGCTTTGTATGTACTAGCTCTATCTATAAATCCATCAATCTTTGTAAAATCTCTTGTATGCATGTACCTTACCTAAATAAACATTTATTTATTTAACATAAGCGGTTGCAGCCCGTCTTCTAAAACATTTTCATACTGCAATTATTTTTTCTGAATTTTTGTGTAGTTTGTCTAAGGTATAAATTATTTAACAGGTATATAAAATACTTGCAGCAAATTAAGCCATGCTAAATTAATTACAATTCAGACATTGAATTTATTGCCAAACAGTAAAATAAATATTCTTGATTACAGCTTTCTGTATTAAGAATCTCTAACCATTCTTTGTGGTTAGAGATTCATTTAACCATTTAAGACTCAATTTTCGATGGCTGAAAAATTAGTAGGAGCAACTTTATATAATTAATTTGTACATTCCCTCTCACACTGAACTGCAGGAACATGATAAAGTTAATTCCCTTGCAAAGATTGCAGTAAATAAAGACAATGTTGAATGGCATTCTATTTCCGGAGTATGGAAAGTATAGCATGACCTTGGGGCTCCCTTCTCTCTGTGACGGGAGCTTGTCGTATATAAGATCCGACGGAGTGCCCAGTGCCATAATACACGCTGTTCTTCACTCTCCAGCACTCATCCTATCATCATGAAGCTCGTGAGTGAATATGGTGCTCACGTAAGGCACTCCTGACCTCTCTCAGGAGGTCAGAGTATAGTACTTATGCCAGTACAGTATGACCCAGAGTATAGTACTCACCCAATTGTGCTTGCGGGGGTTGAGCTTTGGCTCTTTGGTCCCTCCTCTCTACTGTCAATCAACTGGTGTACAGATTCCTGAGCCTATTGGACTCTATCATATCTACATTTGAAACTGCGTATGGAGTCAGCCTCCACCACATCACATAGTGTTCATCTTGGTCTGGATACACACACATACACACTATTACACATAAACCCACTTTTGCACCAATACACCTATACCATTACACACACCCACAAGGTGTATTCAAAGTTATTTACTGATTAAAAGACCGGACGTATAAGAACAGTCAACAATAAGACCTAAATGCCGGATATTACACTAATGATCCGGTTAAGAATATCCGATATCGGATATTAAGTAACCAGTCGACCCATACAAGACATTTATACATACAAGTCTACACACACGCGTTTTGTTATGTGATGGAACTTATTAGAATATAGCAGGCAGCTATATCATGTCCTATCTATGAATGACTACATAGATACGACATCTTAAACCCATGGAACGGGATTGAACTCGTATTTCTGGGCTCCCCCAAGCACACACGCACCACTAACTGCTTAGAAGGGTATGAGGACAAGGAAATGGAAGCGGTTCCCAACATGTTGGACAATCGGGAATCGAACTCCGACCTGCAAGAAACGAAACCATTGCTGTACTGAGTAGACAAAATTGGACAGAGCAACGAAGCTCTTGTTATGATAACTGCTCTATAATAGCCAGGAAAACAAGAGTAATAGAGCTGGAGATTGTCCTATTACCATGAAAGACTGAAGTTCTATTATTCTTGTATTAAGGACAACAGATGTTAACACATTATTTCTCTTGCAGGTCGTGGTGGTGACCTCCGTGCTGGTGCTGCTCGCCCTGGTCATCACGGCCGCCCGCGCCTTGCCCGCCCCGCAGCCCTTCTTCTTCGGGAAAAAGTTTAAAAAGGGCGGCTGTTGTGGCGGCTTTGGCGGTTATGGTTATGGTGGCTACGGCGGCTATGGAGGTTATGGTGGATATGGTGGATATGGTGGTTATGGCGGCCACGGTGGATATGGTGGCTATGGTGGCTATGGTTACAGGAGTTTTGGGTAGGAGAGTCTGATGAGAGTGGGGAACGCAGCAGCAGCATCTTGGATTGTTAACTACGTCACCAACGAGTCAGCAAGTAGTCACCAACCAGTCAGCAAGTAGCCACCAACCAGTCAGCAAGTAGTCACCAACCAGTCAGCAAGTAGTCACCAACCAGTCAGCAAGTAGTCACCAACCAGTCAGCAAGTAGTCACCAACCAGTCAGCAAGTAGCCACCAGCCAGTCAGCAAGTAGTCACCAACCAGTCAGCAAGTAGCCACCAGCCAGTCAGCAAGTAGTCACCAACCAGTCAGCAAGTAGCCACCAGCCAGTCAGCAAGTAGTCACCAACCAGTCAGCAAGTAGTCACCAACCAGTCAGCAAGTAGTCACCAACCAGTCAGCAAGTAGCCACCAGTCAGTCAGCAAGTAGCCACCAGTCAGTCAGCAAGTAGTCACCAGTCAGTCAGCAAGTAGCCACCAGTCAGTCAGCAAGTAGCCACCAGTCAGTCAGCAAGTAGCCACCAGTCAGTCAGCAAGTAGCCACCAGTCAGTCAGCAAGTAGTCACCAGTCAGTCAGCAAGTAGCCACCAGCCAGTCAGCAAGTAGCCACCAGCCAGTCAGCAAGTAGCCACCAGTCAGTCAGCAAGTAGTCACCAGCCAGTCAGCAAGTAGCCACCAGCCAGTCAGCAAGTAGCCACCAGTCAGTCAGCAAGCGTTCACCTGCCCAGAGACGCCATCCTTGTGGCCCAAACTCACATGTAAACATCAACATAAAAAGGATGTATTAACCTTAATATACAGAAGCATATCTATGTTCCCCTTCCATCATACTCGCATATTAAAAGTATGAAGTTGTTCTCGTGTACCGCCACAGTGTGCCAAAAAGTATGAAAGACATTTCTTTTAATAAACATTAAAGACGTAACGACGTGTTTACCACGATAACCTGAAGTATTTACCACGATAGCACATCTGTGCCAGGTCAGTACGACGGGCTCACCATAGCCCATGCTGCTTGGAATACTAGAAACATTCCTGCTATACACAACTATTATCTAACCTAACTAATTCCAAACTTACCTAACCTAACCTAACCTAATATCTCCTAACCTAAACTAACTATTCACCCTAACCTAACCTTGCCTGGGCTGCCACAGAAAACAATAACTGATGAATTTCTCAGGGGAACATAAAACTACCATCCCGCCATAAGACTAGACAACTTAATACTTATAAATAATCACTCAATTACCATATTATAAATGGAAGTTCTGACGACCTCTCCCTCAACACATGTAACAAATTCAACAGCCAAATATTTACGAGAAGATTAGCATTTGTTTGTGGGGGAAGGGAAGGGAAGGGAACTATCAGGGGGAAAGCGCCAAGCCATTACGACTATATAGCACTGGGAAGGGGTCAGGATAAGGATTTGGGATGGGACGGGGGAAAGGAATGGTGCCCAACCACTTGGACGGTCGGGGATTGAACGCTGACCTGCATGACCCGAGACCGTCGCTCTACCGTCCATCCCAAGTGGTTGGTTGTGGGGGGGGGGGAAGCTTATCGCCTTGATGTGATGTATAACACTGAGCACCTCACAACTCACGTCTATATTAGAGCATTCACAACTAATTTTGGATTCCTATCTATAGTTTTATCAAAAGTTGTATGACAAAATCCAAGATAGAGCTTCTCACATCTAGTGAGAAGCAAACTTAATGTATATGACACACAGAAATCCTAATAGCGTGGTACATCAAATGAATAAATCCACAAGGGCTGTGACGAGGGTTCGAACCTACGCCCGAGAGATTAAGGCAGCGTCTGGGATCCTCTCGGATTCGAACCCTCGTCACGGCCCTTGTGGATTTGTTCATTTAATGTATGACCCAGTGTCGTACACTCTCCAACACAAGACATGGTTGGTCTGTTTGTATCTGGAAAAGTACACTAAATATATCCCCTCCCCACCTCCCACTAATTACTTTCTCTGCAAGTTCCTGCCACAAGAACAAACTATCAAACGAGCGGTGCGATGCGTGACTACACACTTCCCCTTTGTACGAACGCAATAATTCCCCCGCTCTTGTCACCCAAAAAAAATTAAGAAAGCATTTTGACAACAGGCTGGCGACCAGACCACACTGTCACTGAATTAAAAAAATATTGTAAATAACTGGCACATAATACACAAAAGTATACAACAAAAACAGCCCCCAGAGCATTGCTACAGCAACGGTAAAAAATGCACTTCTACCTAGCACCCTCCATAGTACAACAACAACACTGCAGACATCACGTCATGCAGAGAAAAGTGGAGTCTTACAGAGTGGCAATAAGTTGTTGTGAAATAAGGGTTGACGACGAGCATGGGATCGGATGCGCCCCGGCGTACCTGTAAAGGGATAATCGCAAAACCTAACGGCAAAACCAATCACCAGAAACTTAGATGCCACACGCCAAAGAAACACAGACAGGCAGATGATTTCGGAGCCCCAGGAGTCCCTCAGGGTGACAAGCACCGGCCCCGCCCCACACAGAGAACACTGGGTAGCAAAACCATAAACTCGGGCCCAAACTACAACACAAAAGTCATCCGGTGCCCCCCAGCAGAACAGAAGCCAGCCGCCCACCACATCTGAGAGCACACCAGCAGCCCACCAACCCCCGGCACCTCTCGGCCAAGCCGGCGCCGGACACCGTCGTCACCCCGCTGGGAGAACTAGCCAGAAAACGTTAAAAATCTATCAACCGTCCCGTGACCCAAGGCGATATGTGCGCCAGGCGTCATACAAACCGTACCGTTGAATAGGGATGCCAAACGGCAGTATCAAATCCAAAATCGCGAAAACAGAACATGATCCGGGGGCTCCCAGGCGGAGGAGGCGTCAAGACGTCCGCTCGTCGTCAAGGTTGAACCAGGAGTCCCGGCAATTAGTTGTACACTCTCTGATGGGTTATAACAACCGTCACGAGATTATCTGAACTCAGCACAACCATAGACATAACTCTGGCGAGATATAAGCATTTTGCACCGAGATTGTAACCATTTGTTGAATTGTCTGAATGTCTATTGCACATTGTTTGTGTACCTAGTCATAAAAGTTTTTGTATGTACGTCTGGTAACGTACTGCATGTGAAAAGGAAGAAATCTATATGTTTATCACTCAGAATGTTCGGTTATAGGTTTAGTGTTTGTGATATGTGTCTATACATATATATGAACACGTTGTACTGAACGGGGTGAGAATAGCTTAAGCTATCTCATCCTTATGTGTGTATTTATACCTCAATAAATTTATTTCAGCTTGAATTTGAAAACAGAAATAACTGACCGACGACAGCTAAAATGTTACTCTAGCTGAGCATTAATTAGTGTAGTTGTATGGTCAGGATAATGAGGTATGGTCAAGTAAGGTCAGGATGCGGTATAGTGAGGTAAGGTCAGGATGTAATTGCATGAGCAGGATAGTCATGAAGGTCCGAGTGTCGCTGTACAGTCAAAATAAAGATGAAATTTAGTTTGATGAAAATGGGCGGATGACTTATGACATGGATGAACCATGGACGCATAATTTAAGACATGGATGACAAATAAACGGTTAACTTTCAACATAGATGACCCATGGACGAGTGACTTCAGACATAGATGATCCATGGACAGGAGACCTGACATGGATGACCCATGAACGGGTGACTTTAGAAATAGGTAACCATGACCCTTGGACGGGTGACTTGAGACATGAATACCCATAGAAAGATAATTTGAGACAAAGGGTTGCTTAAGGATGTTGAAAAGACCTTCGAGAAAGGGGACAAAGAGAGAGAGAGAATTAAATGATTTCGTCCAATGTTTACATTGTTGTTTATCTATATTTTTTGCCCTGAATGTTTCTTTATAAACCCAAGAGTATAAACATCACATAAATACCAGTTGTAGCATATATTTGCAAACATTTCAACATACAGGTGAAGGGAGATCCGCAGATGTTTCCTAAAACTTCAGTTTGTGTTAAAGTTGAAAGGGGAAATGCTTGTAAAGTGAAGCAGTGGAATATTTTTCTTGTGTAATGTTGGTTTGGCAAGGTCAAGTCTCTCCTGCTAACACAGCTGTTTGTTCTGGCAAGCGGTAGCGGCCTTGACGCCAAGTTGCGTGCTGCAGAGGAGTCTGGCTACTCACCTCCTTCATGATGCTGCACATTGTACATTGTAGGGGTCTCAGGGGGGTAGAAATAGCCTAAGCTACTCTATCCCTTTGAGATGTATTTCTTGCTTATCTCAATAAACATACTTGAACTTGAACTTGTAGGGGTCTGGCTACTCACCTCCTTTATGATGTTGTACAATGTATGTTATATGTTGTTGGGAATCCGTTTAAATTATAGCCAAATATTATTTCATGAGTTACAGCCTCAAATTGTTATTTTCAATTCCAAAATTTATGTCGGTCCCTTGGTGAATTGAAAAATTTGTTTGCACCAAAATGGAAGCGATACCGAGCTTGTGAGATCTAGTTGTGGGCAATAGATCTCCGTCAGCACCAGCGATGTATATGATATTATGTTATTAGCTTCACAAGACTGCTACATGCTTCGCTAAATAAACTTTGACATTCAGTTCCTCATCTCATTATGTGCCTCTGTAACCTTTTCCCCTATCGCCCACGGGATGGGTATGGGGTCCACTACCGCCCACGGGATGGGTATGGTGTTCACTACCGCCCACGGGATGGGCATGGGGTTCACTACCGCCCATGGGATGGGCAGGGGTTCACTACCGCCCACGGGATGGGCATGGGGTTCACTACCACCCATGGGATGGGCAGGGGTTCACTACCGCCCATGGGATGGGTATGGGGTCCACTACCGCCCACGGAATAAGCATTTCGTCTACTACTTCCAATGGAATGGGATTGGTGTCTGCTACCGCCCGGAATGGGTATGGGGTGCATAATAAATGAAGAAACTAACAACATTTCCTAGTGTTATCATTATTACTGTTTTCTATAAAATTATTATTAATTTGACCGTTGTTTATATCATGTTTAAAAGCTTGTTGGTATGTGTGATACTCTTGTTTTGCTAAATTATTATGAATTTGAAAACCTTTTGAAGTTTACTGATGATTCTTTTTCCATTGTCAACACAGAAATATATCACTGATGACTGGTCAGGTCCTGGAAGACCACTTGGTGATACTGCTATCCTGTGGCATAACACAGGATAGCAGTGTGTTGACGTTAACAATGCCTTATCACAGCACACTACCGCTGTACTCGACTCTAATGGTGCTCGGGGGTATTTGATTATATGTGTAAATGCCTTGTTTCACCAGCAGCAGCAGCAGTAACTCTGCACATGTGTATAGAAACATTCTAGCTGAAATATCTAAACTGGCTAATTTATATCATGATGCTAACCTCGTGGGAGAAGGCAATTTTAACACTGATTTAAATCTGCCTAAATGGTTCATGAATGCTGAAAATTTATACCTGCTGTAAGTGGTGAATTGAATGTTGACCAGACCACACACTAGGTGAAGGGACGACGACGTTTCGGTCCGTCCTGGACCATTCTCAAGTCGATTGTGAGGGATAGGGATAGGGACCATTCTCAATCGACTTGAGAATGGTCCAGGACGGACCGAAACGTCGTCGTCCCTTCACCTTCTAGTGTGTGGTCTGGTCAACATAATTTAGCCACGTTATTGTGACTCATCGCCTGCATGTGAATTTAATATTAACCTTAGCTTTCTGTCATTCCAACTACTGCAATTACAGTACTTGCACTAATCTGGTGTAATTTACATCAGAACAGTCTCGGTTACTTATTTTACATGTCATGCCGGTGCTAATTAGGGCAAGAAGAGAGTATCCCTATTAAAAAAAACAAATAGAGGTTTGCGTGGTAAGAATGATCACATCTGAAATTTCTTTTAAATCTGTCTTCTGACATAACCTATGAAAAGATGCTGGGTGTCCCTGAGATGGCCGATTACCTCAGATCAGAAGAAACACTTGGGCTCAATATCAAGGCATAAGGACGATTAAGAAATATACTCTATATGATATAACATACATAAATTCGTATCTATGTCTTATACCTATCTATTGTTATCGACATATATATCTTCTTCACCAACGTACCTGGTTACAATATTCATTGTGTCAGGTGTATGCCCTAGACCTTGTGTTTCACAACTGCTAGATCATTCCCTTGGACCTCAAGGTGACCCCCTGGTTCCTTAAAGTTTTTATTACGGGAAGTGTGTTTTAAAACCCCATTTATTTAGTTTTAAACATTTAAAATGGTATGAAATTTGACTACAACAGAGACTTCCCTAATCGACTCATAGAATCCTCCTAACCTGCATATAGTCATAGTATTTATACATTACAGAAATGGTTTAATTATCACAAGCGATGGAATGAAGAGGCCTTGATTAGGAAGTGACCTTCGGTTGAGGGAGCCCTGCTGAAGGCTGAGTCCAGGTGTGGTGTATATATAAGGTTGGACTCCTGGTCACCTGCCATCCACTGCCCACACCTCCACTACCAGCTGCAGCACCCCACGTCTCCAGTCAACATGAAGGTGGTAAGTGGACGAGGGAGAGAGGGAGGGAGGCCAGTGGCCAGTATCTCAATAGTCACTTAGTTTGGTTTTATATTAACTTGATTTACTCAAATTACAGATGGAGATATATGTTATAGCATTGTTATGAACACACAATAATAATCAAATCAATACAGTCAGTGGTTACTAATTAATTTATACTGATAGCAGTGTTTCCTACATTTTTACCAAGCAAATCCGGTGTCATAACCCGAAACCGGGTCTAATACCTTGTATTTCTTAAGGAAAATACATCATTAAGTCGTGTATGATGTCTTTATACATGGGGTGCGAAATATATGTAGGAGCTTAACTGGCTGGAGAAACTCAAGAGATTGGTTGCTTAGCTTATTATTTACGTTTCGCCAAAAGTTCCCGTCACATTACTCTGACGATCTCGATTATATCTTGGTGCTTTTAACTTTGAAAAGTTCTACCTTAAGTTCGACAGTGTTTGTGCCATTTGTGATTAAAATTATATCTTTGTTTATCATAACATGTGTATGTGCTGAAGCCGGGCTGTTTGTTGCAGAGATTACTAAAGGCCCAGTTTATCGAAGACCCAGTTTACTGAAGGGCCAGTATGCTGAAGGACCAGTTTACTTAAGAGCTCATTTGATATGTTTCACACAATTAATTTGCTACTGAGTAACAATATCTCAAGAGTTTGCCTGGGTCATGTCTGGCCTAGGATATTCAAGGGAGCATTCCAGCTTATCAAAGATATTTAGGAGCTTTTCAATGTTTGGAACAGCTCTTGTCGTTCGGAATGGACATTAGAAGACCAGTTTCAGTTGCTTGAGAATGTTCTCTTGTAATTTTTAAGCACCACAGTTGGTTATAAGGCCAGTCTGGAGCATTAGTGAATAATTCTAAACTTTTAATTAATGTAAGGTTGAAATATTAAGTTCGGTTCTGAGCATCGTATAATCTCTGGTAGATTATCACTCGCTACACCAGCTCGTTCTCTTAATTTACCAAAAATGTACAAAACACAAAGTCTTAACCTAACCGTAAACTTACGAACTCAACCAACCCAACTAACCTAACCTACCAATGCATAGAAAACATGGATCTTTAAGAGCCGTTACTTTTCATAGTACTGTACCTTGTAAGTTGAACATTGGGGGACTATAACTTGCAAAACGAGACATACAAATTGAAGGGGCAGGTTTAACAACCAATCACTAGGATATGAATATTTGGGTAAAAAATAATTGTTGTTATATCAGATGGGCAGGAACAGGCAACCCATTTTTTTTAGGTGTAGTGTGACAAGGAGAGTTTCAGGATACATTAACGCTTATTCACGTGGGAGAATTTTATCATTCACGCAAGAAAAATGTATAATGTACCACTGAAAGTTCTTGTTGTATAACCCTTATATGCCACAAACGTCAATGTTATCCACTGTATAATCACAAACATTTCTATTATTTATAGCATAATCCTGATATCACCAATGATCACGATACATTTGTTGTTTAACCCTGATATCAAGCCAAATACTTAAAGAAAAAGTATTTGCTTGGTAGTACCTAGAGCATAGGTTCGAATCCTCGCCACTACTCCTACGAGTTTTCTCCTTGATACATCACATTAATGTGAATTATCTGTGCAAATACTTACAAATTCCTTATATAACAAGTTTCCTCCTGTTATACTGTACATTACAAGTATATTTCTTTTATGCCAATGCTCAAGAATTTCATTAAACATTATTTTCTTCACAACTAAATCTTTCTCCAGCTCGACTTATTTTAATCATTCACTATATCCAGGTTGTGATCTGTTCAAATGAATTTTTTCTTGTGAAACATTTTCTCTAAAGTGTAAACTTTAATTAAATAACTTAATTTATCTTCCAGCTGTCGTTGATCCTTTCCATAATGTTGGTGCTGAGTGCCATGTTCGTAGCAAGTGAGGCTCTGCCTGGCCCGATCCCCAACCCCGAAGCCAACCCAGAAGCCAACCCCGACCCCGGCTTCAAAAAGAGGAAGTTTGGTGGTGGAGGATGCTGTGGGGGCGGCTACGGGCGCAGGGGCCATGGTGGATACGGAGGTGGGCACAGGTGGGGGTAGAGGGTACCTGAAGAGCTGCTGCACCCTGGGAAGACATGGGTCTTTAGTGCCACTCCTGCCATCTGGGTGCTCTCCTGCAAAGGGTGCTCTCCTGCACAGGGTGTTCTCCTATTGAATCATTCTCTTTGCCAGTCTAAATCAACAATACTCACCTTCATTGCAACACTGAACATCTTTTTATTCTTTCCATGTGATTTGTGGTCATGTTTAATTGTATATCTTCTACATCAAAAAACTGTAATACAATAAATTCAATTTAAAACTAGTATACATTAATATATTTTATTTATATACAATGACCTTTTCTCTCCTCAGCAATAATTAGCTGTAAATGTTATGCATTTATTTACACCTAAGTAAAAAAGTTTGTACTATATGTATGATTATAAATTAATTAAAAATACTTACAGCAAGGGATATATATACAGAGAGGTGTACCCCATTTCACGGTGCATATACACAGAGTTTACTTTAATACTGGACAATGTTCAGAGTTAAAGTATACTAGCTGGATGGTCTGTAAGCTAGTCTCACGGCCTTAACAACCAGTTGTTGTTAAGCCTTCAGCTCAACACCGAACAAAACACACACAACCAAACCAAAATACATAGAATTAAACCGAAATACATAGAACCAAACAAAAAAATACATAGAATCAAACCAAAACACATATTAGTTACCATCATTAGTTTGCTAGTTTTAGTCAACCAGCAATAGCCAGCCAACTTTAGTTAGCCAGCTTTAGTCTGCGGTCATTAGTCAGCCAGCTTCAGTTAGCAGTCATTAGTCAACCAGCTTCAGTCAGCAGTCATTAGTCAGCCAGCTTTAGTCAGCAGTCATTAGTCAGCCAGCTTCAGTCAGTGGTCATTAGTCAACCAGCTTCAGTCAGCAGTCATTAGTCAACCAGCTTCAGTCAGCAGTCATTAGTCAGCCAGCTTCAGTCAGCAGTCATTAGTCAGCCAGCTTTAGTCAGCGGTCATTAGTCTGCCAGAATTAAGAACCCGCGGCAGGCAGGAAGCATTGTCCAGGAAGGAGATAAACCACAAAAAGTCAGCATTATAAATAATAAAATTCACAATATATTTTTTCAAAAAATATAATTCCAAAAATCGTAACGTTCAAAAAATATAAATAATGGACCTCCAAATAGTCTCAATTTCACACTGAAGCAGAAGCAGTGAGACTTGCCAGTTAGACATCCTTGTGTGTTCCACACTCTGGTTTATGGTGACCCTCATGTATTATGGCGACCCATGTATCATGGCGACCCGTGTATCATGGCAACCCGTGTATCATGGCGACCCATGTATCATGGCGACCCGTGTATCATGGTGACCCGTGTATCATGGCAACCCGTGTATCGTGGTGACCCGTGTATCATGGTGCCCCATGTATTATGGCGACCCGTGTATCGTGATGACCCGTGTATCATGGTGACCCGTGTATAATGGCAATCCATGTATCATGGCAACCTGTGTATCATGGCGACCCATATATCATGGCGACCCGTGTATCATGGCGACCCATGTATCATGGCGACCCGTGTATCATGGCGACCCATGTATCATGGCGACCCCATTTAAGCTATTAGATTTTAACTTTTGGAAACGTATCCGATACAGCAAGAGATCAAGATATGCTTTAAAAATAACATGATAGTTTCCCAAAGACTGAAGTGATATAATAACGTAATTTTCAGGATATTCATTCAACTGTTTAAAATATTTGGTTGGGTATATACACAAAGAGAGAGGTCCTGCTTCTTGATGTACATACACAGAGTGTTTGCTTGAGTTCCAATCAACTGTATGTTCAAAGATAAAGAATATGTACTTGTAAGCTGGCTATTAAGCTAGTATCACGGCCTTAATAACCTTCTTGAGGTTGATGGACCCCCATAAGATAAACACCTATCTTAATATAATGTGCTTATATTAGTCTTTATATATTAATGATAGTCATAGAAGGGTTAACATTCTCTCTCTCTCTCTCTCTCATACTGTACCCTCTCCAAGCCTCCATCAGCACTTCAGTAGAGAGCTGGAGGAGCCACCTGGACACCAAGGTGGTCGCAGCTGAGCCAAGATGGCGGCCCTAGCATTCTCATAGTCTCGGAGCGGTTCACGTTCCTCTACCTGGCCCAGCCACTCCTCATATGCCTTCAGCGCCTCCGTCGAGCGTTCTCCGCTCCTCCTGGCTGCCGAGGACTTCTCTATTTCGGATGTGACTCTGTAAAGAGATGATGTGATGAGAGTGTACCATAGTGGCGTTCTTTGGTGACTATGATACACGTAAAGCAACTTCAATAAAGTGACAACGCTTTTTGAAGCCTTGCCACTTCCTTTAATGATGTTCCAAGAACTAAATCATACAAGCATACTAATCTAACTCTAACTTAATCATACAAACATTGTGATGAAACACTAACTTATCATAGAAGCATGCTGATCTACCATGAACATAATCATACAAACATACTAATCTATCACGAATTTAATCATATCAAGCATACTGATCTTATACGAATTTGCAAGCATAATTAAATTATTCGGAAGAAAAAATGTATCACTTTTGTAAACAAAAAAATTAACATCAATAATTTTGAATTATTTTAGTCCTGCTATTATAGGCAACACGAAAACTGATGTAAAAGGGTAAATTTCAGATAAAATATTCTTATTTCTCTCTATAGCTTAAGATGATCTCTACAATTACAAGATTGGCAAACTGGAAAGTGGAATTTTCTGGCAAATGTTGAAACTGTTTCTTGGAGTGTCTGGAACACCTGGAAAGATTTGCTAACTTTGAGGAAAGATTCTGAAAATAATTTTTATTCTAAATACCCTACCAGGTATTATTTTTACTCACATGACTTTTCTCATATTCTCGTCAGCTTCCAGCAACTTGCTTCTTTTCCAGGCCGCAAAGGCTAAGTTGGCCCCCTGCCTCTTCTCCAGCTCCTCTTGCTCTTCCTTGCTCTTCAGCTCCTCTTCCTCTTGCTTCTTCTTCTTCCGCTTCTCTTTCTCTTCTTCATTCTTCTGCTGTTTCCACATGAGGAACATCTGTAAGCCCGTGATGAATATAATTTAACGTTTCCCTTCATGAAATCTTACTATATGTATGTTATTAAAAATAATAAAAATGACAATAAAAAAATAACAATAATTATAATAATATAGAAATAATAATCAGAATACAAAAAGAAATCCCATTAACATGCTGTCTCAGTGAGATAATCAGTACGAGACGTGAAGAAGATTCAAACCCCGCACACTTGGTAATCCCATGTCCACGCCCTAAACCACTACAGCACTACATGGTCAAGAACATTGCAACCTGGAATTTAACTGAATCCTCAAGGGCTCTTGAGGCTTCCACTGAAGCCCAAAATGCAATCCTCCTCCCTGACCTACTGACCTGCAAGACTCCTCTCTGACCTACTGACCTGCAAGACTCCTCCCTGACCTACTGACCTACGAGACTTCTCCCTGACTCACTGACATAAAGACTTTTTCCTGACCTATTGACACACAAGACTCATTGTTGACTTGTTGATACACAAGACTCCTCCCTGACCCACTGACCCGCAAGGCTCCTCCCCGACCTACTGACATGCAAGACTTCTCCCTACCTACAAGGAAGGCAAATAAACTAACCATTTCTGATTCTTCCTTCTTTAAACACCTCTTTCTCTCTTCCTCTTTCTTGGTTTCTCTCTCTTGTCTCTTCTTCTCTCTCCTCATTTTTGCTAGTTCATTTTTCTCCGTCTCCCATGCTATGACTGCAGCTGTTATTTTCATTTGTTTTTCGTCCTTCACTTTTTCCTTCCTATTCTTCTTCCGTTCTTCTTCCAGGATCATTTCTCTCGCCTTTTTCTTTTGTTGTCTCTTCTTTTCCTCCCATTCCGTGACAGCTTGACTCACCTTCAACTGTAGATCCTTTTTAATCTGAAGTCAAAATTAAGTTTTGAATCAATAGGCATGGATTCAATAAGCTCAGTACCTTAAATCTATAATAAATACCTTAATGTGATCAAAAAGCTGTAATCCCATATGAAAACTTCTACTAGTATTCAGTTTAATTGATTTAAAGATAAATTACATCTTGCACAATAGCATGATGAATCTACAAGAACATATTGAATCAGAGCAATGGGATTGAACTCATGTCCCTGGATTATTTTCTCAAGTAACTTATTATAAAACCCTCATATCTTTCATTACTTTAGTCTATTTTAATTGTTTAATCAAATTCAGCAAGAACTCTTACTTGTGCACTTCAATCTGATTGTAAATAACCTTGGTTATAATCACTATAAATTCTTTGACCCCATCAAGATTCGAACCTGTGTGGCCAGGGGTCACCTCATTGGCTTCCTAGTACTAATACCCCTCCACCATCGATTGCCTATGAGTGTTGGATGGTTCTGGAGCTCACATTGTTCCACAAGAGTTCCATAACCATTAACAGTTCAGCAACACTTGTGGTGCAACTCGGGTACAGTTTGTCATCAAATCCCAGATCATGCTGGGACCCCCACATAGCCTACAAGCATGAGACCAAGTTTGAATACCCTTCAAGCTGTAAATCCCTATAAAATCTAACCTAGAATAAACTAGAGACACTACAGATTCTTTGGAGGCCATTCAGGTTACATAGACTACTGTGCTACAGGACTCCATTGTGTGTAAAAGAACATATATGCATTTATGTGCTTTTTAAATATACATACATGTTTGTTAAACTCACACACTGGGTTTATGTTCATGTTAAACATACACACACATGAGAGTTTGTGTTAAATAAATATATTGCACACCTTTTGTTTCCTCGTCTCCTCTTCCTGACTCTTCTCCTCGGCTCTGAGTTGTCTTGAACGCAGTTGTCTCGAGCGCCTGATACACCACTCCTCATACACGGCCTGGCTCAGCGTGGCTCGCTGGCCCTCATCTGTTGATACGAACTCCTCATCAGGCTGCAGCTTTCATATATTACCTACATATGTGCTCTTTGTCAGGGGGCAGCAGCTCTTAGGGATTACCTATATATTTGTGCTCTTTGTCAGGGGCCGACCTCTCATATAATACAGTACTGTACTTACAAATGAACTCTCATTTTTCATTATTGTTATAATTACTCTTTTGCATTATTATTATTGGTAGTAGTGAAAGTGGTAGTGGTAGTGGTAGTGGTAGTAGTAGTGGTGGTGGTGGTGATGGTGGTGGTGGTGGTAGTAGTAGTAGTAATAGTAGTGGTGGTGGTAGTGGTAGTAGAACTGGTAAAGGTAATGGTAGTTGTAGTGATAGTAGCAGTAGTAGTTGTGGTAGCAGAAGTGGTATCAATAGTAGAATTAGTTAAAGCAATAGTAGTAGCAGTAGTAGTAGCAGCAGAGGTAATATTAGAAATAGTAGTAGTATTCCATTTAACCTTACTTTGTTACTGAGAATGTCAGAAGTTCCAAAATAATAAATAATACCCACTGTGTGCCCCGACGTACCCTCTGTGTGCCCTGACGTACCCACTGTGAGCCCTGACGTACCCACTGTGAGCATGTGGAGGGCCTGCGGGGTCTTGACCTGAGGGATGACGCGGGTCACATCCTCCAGGGATGTGGTCCGACGGGTGACCCGGGTATGGAGCTTCCCGCTGCTCTGCCACGACTGTGATGATGAGGACCGCTGCGCAGTTCTGGGGGGAAAGGGAACACACTTTGTTCACTGTTCACTCTTGATCATCTCTTCCCACTTATTATGTTCAGTTTCCACACATGTATGTTATTCGTACATGTAATAAAAAATATTTTGTAAAATCTTTTGTAAATTTATAAGCAAAGTTGATAAATTTATAAGCAATGTTATTAAATACGTAAAAATTTTGATAAATTTAATATTATTTAATTTAATAAAACATGTTTTACATAAATGACAGCAATTTATGTATAAAAATGACATGACACATACACTGTAGCAGTTCATACAGAAATTATCCAGAAATTAGTCATTATTTACATACATGTTATTAATAAAATTTATGTATAAATCATTAGACTTTAATATAAATTCTCATATCAATACCTATAAGAGACAATGTTTGTTTGTCTGTTGAAGGTAAGCTTCGACTAACTCATAAAAATTTGCAGTGCAAATAGTCTGGGTTCCAGGCATACATAGAGTGGTGAGAGTTGAGCCCCATGTTCTCCCTTTGCAGGAAATGGCAAATTACACTTATTTCCAAGCTCGCTAAATAAAAAAAATCTATCCTCACCAAGATTCACCTATCACATCACATGGGCTGGACGGTAGAATGACGGTCTCGCTTCATGCAGGTCGGCATTCAACCCCCGGTCATCCAAGTGGTTGGGCATCATTCCTTCTCCCCGTCCCATCCCAAACCTTATCCTGACCCCTTCCCAGTGCTGTACAGTTGTAATGACTTGGCACCTTCCCCTGATAATTCCCTTCCTATTATATTAAATGTTAGTTAGGGTGGAAGGTGGTAATTGGGAGAGTGAGAGAGGATTTGGGGGAGATTGGAAGAGAGGAGGGGATATTGGGAAAGAGTGGGGGGATTGATTTGGAAAGAAGGGAGTGGGAAGAAGGGAAAGAGAGACCCGGTCACAGCCGGGGTGAAGAGAACCTGGATTGGGGCTTAATTTCTATGAAAGAGACCAGTGAAATTCTCATCCCAAGTCTCAGGTGAGTTCACTCTAGTGTTAGTTTTATTCTTTCAGGAGGGGAACGGGAGTGATATTAGAGATTCCTGTGATACATTGAGAAGCTGAGAGACCTGAGGGCTCTGGAAGTTGAAGACCATTACCTGTGGTCTCTGGGAGTGGGAGACCATTACCTGTGGTCTCTGGGAGCTGGAGACCATTACCTGAGGTCTTTAGGAGGAGGAGACGGGACCTTCACACCAAGCATCTTAAGGCTACGAGAGTAGTTCCCGAGAGGTTTCTGTCTAGGCTGTCTCGACCCGAGAATAGGAAAAATATATATAATACAACTACTAATATTTATAACAATAATTACGATGATGATAATAATAATAACAACAATAATGGCCTGGTATGTTGCCATCTACAAAAAGAAAAGAAATACATCAGAAGAAACTATAGGTTAATATCTTGGAGACTGATTATTAACCTATAGTTTCAGCCTCTTTGGGGGTTTTTTGGCAGCAGGCTGGCTACCAGACCATATCTTTATATCATCAATTCAAAATTCTTGTAAATATGTAGTTGGGAACACACACAGAGGGTACTCAATAAAATGAAAAGAATCCCAGCATTGATACAGTTAGCTACAGAAAAAGGCAGCACTTGCTTGCAAACTTCAAAGTAACTCTAAAGACATGTAAACAATATAAAATATGAATAATAATAATTCTCTGTGTAATAATAATAATAATAATAATAATGATAAAGGTTTTTACTGGTGTTATCATAATTATTTTATATGGTTAAAGAGTAATGTTAAGAAAGATTTTATAGACACATACGGCAACAAGAGAACAATATATCTCTAAAAGCTGATTTGTTTAGTATGTTCGGTCACATAATTGGTGTGAGAAGCCCAACTACAAGTCTACAATGACATCACAAGAACGTGATATATCTGTGAGAAAATGCTAATGCCATATTTTTACATATTTGTAAGCAAATCTTGATAACAATTCTACGGGTGTTTAAGTAGTTAATTCAAAATGATAGAATACCAGAAATCTTACTCGAATGTCCAAAGTTTGCGTACTGTATTTTGTGTATGTAATGAGTGTAAACTTCCACTGCCGCCCCCGGGTGGGTGAGGAGTGGGTGTGGGTACAAGAGTGGGTGAAGGGTGAGTGTGGATGTATGAGTGGGTAAAGGATGGATGTATGGTGAGTGGAATCATGCATGTGGGATAAGTGTAATGAGTCTAGACACTGCTAACAACCAAACGATTAACCAAACATCTCAAATGTCAAATGTTTCAAACGAATCAGACTCGACTACCAACCATGTCAACAGTCGTGGCGTGTGTGGGCGGTGGGCGACGGGGACCAGACCAAACACTGCCAACACTGGAGGGACGCATCCCACCTGCGGGAGATAGGAGTGGCAGGGGCCATCGTTCAACCCGTCCTCTTACAAATTACGCCTGAATTTGGCCTTTTACCTGTATGGCCGAAAATTGACGTAATTTTAACATGAAAAATAATTGAAAACAAATTTTGGATTTTTCTTTCCAAAACAGCAAGGGTTCTCTGGTAGGTTAGGAGGGCAGGAAGGTCTCCTAAAGTTTCAAAAGTCATGAAAACCGATAATTCAAAGTTTCCTCTCCAAACTTAACCAAGTAAGCCGAAGGAATCAAAACAGAAAGCAGGACAATATGTCACTTTTGTGAGCCTATTTCATTAAAAATTACAGTATGTATATTTTTGGCCATAGCACGCATATGAGCAAAAAGCGACGTAATTTTAAGGGGACGGGTTGCATCGTTACACGTCTCAACACAACTAGTCAGTAACTGGTCATAATGTGACACACAACACGACCAGTCAGTAACTGGTCATTATGTGACACACAACACGACCAGTCAGTAACTGGTCATTATGTGACACACAACACGACCAGTCAGTTGGGATCACGAATATGTAGCCTAATGTCTTAGGCTACATTCCAAACTAAACTATATTTACGGGTTGGTTAGTAAACTCTTGTGGTTGTCTTAATAACCCTCCAGAGGTAGATCAGCCTTAAGCCCATCACCAACCCATCAGTAATATTTGCAATGATAGTGATAAGCGTTTTATTCCACAATTTACAGAATAATTATAGCAATTATATACAATTACCTGGGATAAAGTCTTGCCCTAATAAGGTGCTAGATTCTATCATAATACTTTGTTATTGGGTTTAGCTGTAACAAAATACTGTGCAAAGTTGGAATCTTACCAATTTTGGAGGATTTTTCCTTGCTGGTTAGGACTTGGTTAATTCCCATGTTGTTAGCTGTGAGCACTGGATTCCTACTGATGCGAGCTGGTTGAGGCGAGGCTTCCCTGGACCCATGGGCAGTGGCGGGTCGGTCATGCATGGAACTCTTGCTCACCAACAGTGGTGGGGTACCCAGACCAGGCACCAGGCCAGACAGCTTCCTATTCACTCCTGACCCTTGGCCAGGGGGCTTCCTAGGAACCATAGCCTCTGGCGAGACATGTAATAAGATATTAATACACACTAAATGGGGTACCCAGAGATGCCCGTAAGACCCAGGCATCCCAGGTCTTCCTTCCCTTTGCTCTTTCCACTCTCTTCCTCTCTCCCAAACTCCATCCAGCTCTTCTCCTATACCCCTCTTCTTCCCTCTTTTCTTCCTTCTTCCATCTCACTTACCTTCTCCACCTCACCTACCTTCTCCACCTTTCCCACCCTCTCCTCCACTCTCTCCATCCCTCGCTCATTCCCACTCCATCTTTATCAAAGAACATCCCTCCCCTCCCTCTCTCCTCTTCATTCCACCCTCTTTCAAATTATTATTTATTATATTCAATTACAAAAAAGGTATAAAATTTATATGTAGGTATCATTCTACCTATTTTTTTTTTACCATTGACATCTGTTGTTTCAGGCTGAAGTGTCGAGGAAGGAGAGTTAATTAACACTCTCATGGGACTCTTAGCTGAGGTTGGACGGGGTCGAGAAGAAACTGCTGCTACTGCAGGCCTAGCGGGTCCCGGGAAGGTGTTCCTTGATCCATCAAACAACGTATGCAGCTCCTCACTCTCGCCGTTACTCTCGGTCTTGTCACTAGCACAACTGTCAGCCTCTCCTGCAACTTCTTCATCTCGTGCATCCTCCTCAGCATCTTCCTGGCTGCTTACGCTGCTCCCTCTACTCTCACCGTCACTACTGCCGCTCTCCTGGCAAGCCTCGAAGGAATATTCTTCCGTGTCGTTGGAATTGGTTTTGTCTTCGATGTTGGAGACTCTTCCTCCGTCATCCCCAGGCTCCTCCATAGGGGAGCTAATGCCCTTTTCTCTGCCTTTCTCAGCCGCACTCTCACTTCCATCGTCTTCAAAAAAGTCATCGCTGCTTGAACTTGCCATGGCACTCGTCAGTCAGCTGCGTCCACCATGCGTGAAACATTTAAAAGATCAGCTAACAGCAGATGCAACACAAAGTACACACACACACACATATACTGTAGATATATCCGGCTTATGAAAACGTATGAAATCATGAGAGACGATTGTAACCTTTCTTCGACAATCTCCCAATATGTTAATATTTTAATAAAGTAGAAACTCTTTAATAAAGATTTATTAAATTGTTTGCAACATTCTATAAAGAAATGAACTTGTTTGAATAATTATTTATCCACTAAGTAACACGGAGATATTTTGATCTATTTTGCTACGTCGCTTTGTTTATTTCATGTTGCCATGGTAACGAATAACAAACTTGGTTCGTTTTTTAATTTTCTATTCACAAGTGTATAGATCATATAGGTATATATACGTATGTACAAATCATATATATATATATATAGATCATATGCGTATAAATCATATACACCCTATTCCACATGAAAGATTAAAAAGTGTAGATAAAAAACTAGCTATAAGTTCATCTAATATCCCCCATCTCAGGATGGTTAATTAATCATTGACGGAATCAGGAGAGATTATTAGCCTCCACTGGCAAAATCTGGGTACAGCTCAAGAATATTCTTCCAATACTCGTGACAAATCTGTGATGCACCCTCATTTGGACTGCTAAAATAAGTTAATTAAATTATTTTGTCATGTTCTAAACGGTCGCCGTATTATAATGGTTTTATATAATATATAATTTATGTACCTGCTATAATTAACTACTGCAACATGTAATTATGTATAATTTATAAATGAAATCATCATCATCATCGGGTCACGTCGGTTGTGAGACGACTGCAGCAACCACTGCAACACGGGACTCGTAATATAATATAAAATAATATAATTCTATATAATATAATAATCCTTTGCATATAACATTAAGATAATAAACAATATAACATAATGCCCGGAGAGAAAGAAGAGCACGTCCATCTCCCACGGCTATTGGCTAGTGACTAACCAGTGTAATTACCTAATTGTATCACTTGTGACAATATAGCTCTCCACATGTGTCAGTTGCTTAATTTAGAAACTGTACTTGTGGTCAGTCTTGTGCCCATTGTTGATGTGACGATGTGCATTGAATTTTGTAACTAGCACATCAAGATTGTTACTAGCTTAGCTAAATGAATTGTGGGGGTTCAGTCCCTGAGCCCATTATGTGCCTCTGTAACCCTTTTTCCACTACCACCTACAAGATGGGTATGGGGTGCATAATAAACGAACTAAACTAACAAAGTGTGGTTACAGGATGGGACCTACGCTCGTGGTGTCACGTCTTCCCAGCACTCTTTGCCCTGTGATGCTTTGAAACTATTGACGGTCAGCCTCTACAACCTGCTCCTTTAGATCATTCCACTATACCCTTATGCTAAACCTAAAACTTTCTAACATCTCTACGACACATCTGAGTCTCAAGCTTCCATCCGTGCCCCCTTGTTCTATTGTTACTCCTTGTAAACATTTCGTTTCCACTTTGTCAATACCAATAAGTATTTTATACATCTGTATCATGTCCCCCTCTCCCTCCTCCTTTTTAACGTCTTTTGGTTTAGTTCCTTCAGTCTGTCTTCGTACCTCGTCCCTCGCAGCTCTGGGACGAGTCTCGTTGCAAAGTTCTGCACATTTTCTTGCTTTCTTATGCGTTTTTTAAGATGGGGCTCCACGATGTGTGTGTGTGTGTGTGTGTGTGTGTGTGTGTGTGTGTAATTACCTAAGTGTTACCTAAGTGTAATTACTTAAGTGTAGTTACAGGATGAGAACTACGTTCGTGGTGTCCCGTCTTCCCAGCACTCTTTGTCATATAACGCTTTGAAACTACTGACGGTCTTGTCCCCCACCACCTTCTCACCTAACTTGCTCCAACCGTCTACCACTGTTTGCGAGTGTGTGTGTGTGCATATGGATAGAAAAGGATATTTTAGTTAGGTTAGTTCATTTATTATGTTCTCCACACTTATCCTGAGAGAGGTGGTACTTCACTCATTCAGTTTACGTTTAGCTAAGCAAATTACATCATTGATGAACTACTTTCAGAATTTAACATGCAGCTCTATGCCCATCCTGTGGGCTGCAGCAGAAGCCTCCCAGAGGCACAAGAAAGTTCAGGAGCTGGGGCCACATATTTTTCTATACTGGACATGCAAAACAAATACTAAGATAACATAATATAAAAGTAAAATATTCTATATCTATATGTGTATGTGTAAAGCTTGAATAGTTCCAAGCCAATGTACGTCGCTCTATGATACGTCTAGGATTTGAGCCTGCTCCCACCCCCCTCCCAAGAATCTTAGGCTACCCCTGGTAGCCTAATGTATATCCTCTCTGTCAATGACTGCCTAGCCTTAGGTAATCCATGGCTGGGTGGTTATAGTACTGAGCTGCCTAACAAAAATGGCTCAAATGTAACAAATGCAGTAGACATAATATTCCTAGATTTCAAAAACAGATGGAAAAACGCTTCTCGTAAAATTCTTCTGAAATACAGGACTACAGTGCAAACAGATGTTCACTAACATGGCTAGGAAATTCGGGTATCTGAATGCAAACAATAGCTGACATAACGAGGGGGTTTGCCACAAGGGATCGTATTGTAATTAATTCTGTTTTTGCGTTATAGAAATTCCCCAATGACACTAAACTAGGGAGCAAACCCACAGCAACACTTGAACGCCTAAACGTGTATGGTAACCTATCAACAGTATAGGTTAAGTAATAATTGTAATTAAGAAGCAATAAGATGCTTATCTTAACATACTAAGAAGGTTAGGTGAGGTCGGTGTTTTCTATGAAGCTTTTCAAGGTAAACTAAAATATTCACAATCAATTAGTATGTCACATATGCACTTATTAAATAAGCCAATATTGACAATAAGCAAGTGCGAGAACGGGTTGCAACGAGACAGCTTAATGAATTTGCCCAATGAGATTAATTGTTGATAAATGCAAAGTACAGTAGTTAATATTGGAAGAATACAAAAAAACGGCAAGATATTGAATAAACTCCACAGAACTAACGAAAGGAAATGATTTAAGGAACCTGAGTGTATTATTGTAATCTGTATTATACAGTAGTCTGCTACTGTACTGGGCTCCAGACTACTGTATTATACAGTAGTCTGGAGCCCAGTACGTAGTACACCGAGGCAGATATATATATATATGAGAGACAATGATAAAAAGGCCAACAATGCCAGGCTTTACCGACAATGTTTAAAGATTCAATTCAGTAAAGTAATTGGTGTGTCTTTTACTAGGACAATGCGAATAGTACGATCGTCACCATTATGTGTGGATATGTTGATGGGATGGAAGGTGTTGAGTGACGAAGACAATAGCCACACGACGATACAAATCAATATGACATCCACTTCGAAAAGAAGAATATTTTCAGTCTTGCAAGATTGTCAATAACAGCGAGTTAATACAAGCATTCAAAATTATCAAAGGCCATGACAATCTTTTTTCTTTTCATAAAAAATATATTTCCCAATTAAACATGTGACAATCGTTTTAATATTTCAGTCCAATAACTTTTGATGAAGAAATATACTTCATAAATATACTGGAGTGAATATGAGCCAGCTTGGCAGAAGATGTAGATGAGATTAATATCGTATATAGGTTTAAAATTAAACTTAACATATATATAGGCGTACCGTAGGTGCTATGCATTTTTTGATCAATCGTAAGTCTTTAATAAACAGCCTTGTTTTTTAACAAAATTGTATGCTGTTTGTCTTTGTATAATCCTCTATATTTTGATTCATACATAATATTATATATCTAATGTTTTATGAAGACAAAACTGAAAGATATAAACATAACGAGAGGGAAGAAAACTATCAAGAGAAAGCGCCAAGCCATCAGGACTCTATAGCACTTGGAAGGGATCAGGATCAGGATTTGGGATGGGACGACGGGGAGGAATAGTGCCCAATCACTTGGACAGTCGGGGATTGAACGTGGACCTGCATGAAGTGAGACCGTCGCTTTAGTGTCGAGCCCAAGTGGTTGGGCGATATCAAATTTAACAGATATATTCTGCTTGATAAGCCACTTCAAGCAACTTACTTTTCATCTAAACAAAATAATGTATTTAATATTGTGCAATTTTTTTTAAACTATGAGAACTGTGATGCATCTATATTAAGGAATTCAAGGGCATTGTCAAACAGAACTTTCTTCTTCAGAGAATCGGGAAGGTCCGAATTTTCTATTAGTTTCCCAGGATGATGTTCGCCAAGAGGGAAGGGGTAGTCTGAGCCTAGGATGACGCGATGCTCTCCTATCACCTGGGAAAACAAAGAATAATATATGTACAAATATATACTTGCCATATTTTGTTTAAGGTTTTAAAAACTGTGCACACATGCTTTTGTTCAGCTAGAGCCTCTATATACCGCATACATGATAGATCTAAAACTCATTTAAGGTTAACATTGTGCAGGATGAACAGCCTAGTAAAAAAATGTATATAGAATTGCTATACCGTGTTTGATACAATGAATGTATATAGAATTGCTATACCGTGTTTGATACAATGAATTAAAAAAATATACCAGAGTATATTTTTCTTTACAAATAAATTACTATTATTATTATTATTAGTAACAGTAGTAGTTGTAGCAATAGTGGTATTGTAATATATTACCCAATATTGTGTACTGGGGCGTCTGATTTAGCACTCAAAGGGTTTGTCATCCCTTCCAACTCTGGACACTAAGATCTTTATGGATTTCTCATTTCCTCTCACAGACATGACATTATCAAGTCAATAAGTACACTAAACTTCTGAGATTGAAGTAATGTACTAATTATTGAGCATAGTAAATGTCAGCTTTTGTCAATTGTGGATATATTAAATGTCGATGAGGAGTCACAATACGTGGCTGAAAAATGTTGACCAGACCACACACTAGAAAGTGAAGAGACGACGACGTTTCGGTCTTTACGGGCTTTCATGCCCGTGCCACCTCTTGGGTGGCTTAATCTTCATCATCAATCGTTTCGGTCCGTCCTGGACCACAATCGACTTGAGAATGGTCCAGGAGGAGCCGAAACGTCGTCGTTTCTTCACGTTCTAGTGTGTGGTTTCTTCAACATATTAAATGTCAGCTTGTGTTAAGTGGTGGACATATGGTAAAGACAGACTGAACTATTGTGAATATATGGTGAGTCAGAAGGTGCTAATTGTGATACAGATAGTGTGTCGAGGTCCCTCCAAGCCCCCATAACCTGCATGTCGCCCCCATGCAGGTCTTAACCTGCATGTCGCCTGTGCAACATGCATATCGCCCGCTACACTATGACAATGGTTATAAATCCATTAACAGTTTCACCAATAAGTTATGGGATATTCATGCCCGTGCCCCCTCTTGGGTGGCTTAATTTTCATCAATCATCAATAATCATCCAAGATTGGTGTGTTGCAAGCCTATGAGGAGTGAGATGCTCACTAATTTCCAAGTGGAAAAATATCAGTTATGAAGTCATAAATATTATCAAGAGTAAACAAATTATACGTAAGGTAGAAGAATACTAGTCTTGCCCTGAATTATATTAGTCACTCCAGTCATAATAAAACTGGTTTGGTGTTGGGCTTAAGGCCGAACAACCTCTGGAGTGTTAAGGCCACGCATTGAGTGATTACTGACCAACCAGCAAGAATACTTTAGTTGTTGTTATAGATTCAGCTACTCGGAACAAGTTCCAAGTAGCTCTTACCTTGCACAGGAGCAGGGCAAGTAGCCCGGGCTATGGTGAGCCCGTAGTGGACTTACCTGGCACAGGAGCGGCGCAAGTAGTACGGGCTATGGTGAGCCCGTAGTGGACTTACCTGGCACAGAAGCGGTGCCCCGACAATACTTTAGTCCTGGACACAGTGTAAATACACCAAGAAGCGGGAATAAACACCTCTCAGTGTAACTATCCCACCTGAAGCTTAGATATAAGACCTACCTGTAGAAGCAGCTTGAGGGCCTCGGCGTTATGGACAAGACTGTCACACCAAAACTTGCCGAGGTAGGAGAGGGGCGGCGTGCTGCACTCCGTGGCGCAGAGGTCTGGCCTCACGTTGTACCCGTGTTGGATACGACCCACGGTGAAGGGGAAGGAACCCCCACCGTGAGCGAAGCACACCTTTAGCCCAGGGAACTGTCGAGTATATAAGGGTAATGAGTTACAATAACGTGGCTGGAGAATGTTGACCAGACCACACACTAGAAGGTGAAGGGACGACGACGTTTCGGTCCGTCCTGGATCATTCTCAAGTCGATTGTCTTGAGAATGGTCCAGGACGGAACGAAACGTCGTCGTCCCTTTACCTTCTAGTGTGTGGTCTGGTCAACATGTCGAGTATATCCACCTATGGTGATCACTTTGTTGAAAAAAAGATTTGTGTATATTTACTATTTGTGCTTGCAGGAATGACCTGTTAGCTCTTGGACCCCGCCTTTCTAACCGTCGGTTGTCTAATGTACCGACTCATGGACTATTATACTTCTATCATGTCTACAACATATTTCTCACACATGCATCCCCAGTAGCTGTCTAACTTTCAAGTACATATGTGTACACATGCAAGCAAGTGAAAGAAACTATACCCGTTTGTTTCTGCGTCGACCGGGAATCAAACCCGGGCCCTTATGACTGCGACTCCAGAGCACTGTCCGTCGTGTGTGTATGTGCTTGTGAGACTGTGTGTTCAACTAAATGTGCTTGCAGGTTGAGTGTGTACTCACCTAGTTGTATTCACCTAGTTGTTCTTGCGGGGGTTGAGCTCTGCTCTTTCGGCCAGCCTCTCAACTGCAATCAATCAACTGTAACTACTAACTAATTTTTTTTTCACACACACACTCACCCAGTAAGCAGCTCCGTAACAGCTGTCTAACTCCCAGGTACCTATTTACTGCTAGGTAACAAAGGCATCAGGGTGAAAGGAACTTTGCCCATTTGTTTCTGCCCATTTGTTTCTTGGTCCATGAATCGAACCCGGGCCACAGAATTGCGAGTCCTGCACGCTGTCCGCTCAGCTACCAGACCCCCGACCAGACCCCCTGTGTGTGTGTGTTTATGCGAATTTATGTTTGTGTGTGATTGTGTGTTTGTTTAAGAAACATTATTTGTCAGCATAAATAAATAGAACAAAATACACTATTATAGCAGCATAGGGGCTAGTAACTAGTAAGTAACTAGTAACACCATGCAGAAAAACAACTCAATAATCCACAAAAACAGTCATGTACCCACCAATATCTATATAAGCTATTAAACATATTAACTGTCAATATTTTTTTTTAAAGAATGCCACACTAACTAAAAATCAAAATAGATCGTAAAGTATGTCCATAATCTTCAAGAAAAGATCCCACCTGCTCGAGTACGTTGCCCATTAGCATGCAGCAGATAGCTGTGGCTGTCTCAGCCGGCATTCCTACCAGCCAGGGTAGCCAGTACTTGCTGTGACGGCCGCCCATCTGCATGTCCCATGGATGGACAAATATGGATAGACCTGGTCAAAAAATATACGAAGATTATCCACTTGTTATTCGTCCAAATTCATGTGTGTGTACTCACGTATTTGTGCTTGCGGGGGTTGAGCTTTGCCTCTTTGGTCTCGCCTCTCAACTGTCAATCAAATGGTGTACAGGTTCCTGAGCCTATTGGGCTCTATCATATCTACACTTGAAACTGTGTATGGGGTCAGCCTCCACCACATCACTGCCTAATGCATTCCATTTGTCAACTACTCTGACACTAAAAAAAGAGTACACACACACACACACCTGTGTGTGTGTGTGTGTGTGTGTGTGTGTGTGTGTGTGTGTGTGTGTGTGTGTGTGTGTGTGTGTGGATGGGCTGGGGACACTGATGTGACGTGTGTGAGGCTGTATAACTTGCTTAGTAATGTGGTCTTGCTTTGGTAATCTTCACACGTTCGCAAAGACAGTCAGTAATTGATGCTATGAATTGACAGTAACATTGAGTGTTGGTTCTGATGTAATTGTTCGAGATTTGTTTTTCCAAATCATACCTCACTTGTTAAAGCCCGTCATTCATACCTCACTGGTCAAAAGCCCGTTACTCATACCTCACACGCTAAAGCCCATCAATCACAGATATCCAATCCCCTTCTTTAATAACCTTCACGTTCACAGTGACTTACACAACAATCACATCTCTCAGACTAACTCTGTTGTTGATAAAAGGTCTTTAGAATGGTCTTAAAAGGTCTCAGTGTCTCAGTGCCGTTTAACATCTTGAGGATCCAGGACGGAACGAAACGTCGTTACTTGTGGTTCATGTGTGTGGGGGAGAGGGGAGGAGGAAGGTTGGGTTATTTATAGAGTTCAACATAACTATATTGGAGAACGTGTTAGTTGTTCAATAACATAAATAATGATTCTTGAAAGCTCTCCTAAAGTAATCTTACAGTTATGGTTGTGATCTGTTCTCTCTTACAGCCATAATCTACTTCGTGAAGCCTCATAATAAATTTCCTATGACAATAGCTATGCTACGCTGCTCACTTTGGTCACAATTTATTTGATCATAGTACAGAAGTGAATTGTTTACAGCAAGTTTAGGCACCTACCCAGGTCTTCACAAGTCTTCCACACAGGGTACAGCTCCTTGGCATCCAAGTTCCAATCATTAATGTGCGAACCAATCTGGATGCCTGGGAACTGTAGGTCAGCCTTAAGTCGCTTAAGTTCCTCAACAGCCAGCTCGGGCGCTTGAGCGGGTATTGTGCCCAGACCAACAAATCTATGTGGATTCTGCTTCACTGTTTTAGCAATATCATCATTCAACAACCTGTGTACAGAATTACATAGAAAATAAAGTTTTGGAACAACAGCCAAGATGTCTGGATAAATATATATCAAGATATCTCACTAAAACGTTTGTCCTGTATAATTCCCGTTATCGAGGGCAGGAAGCCTGCACTCGGAAACGGGCTCACCATAGCCCGTGCTGCTTGGAACTTGTTCCGAGTAGCTGAATCTATAACAACAACAACCTGTACTCGGGCTTGTGCCGAGGCCCTTCTAGGTCGAACTAGGTCAAACTATTGACCTTTCCCAGGCTGCTGCCATCTACAACAGTTGGCTAATGCCAGAACAAATAATACCTTGTACGAATAATGCCTTGAACATAAATACATATATTAAATACAGGTCAAGTACGCAATGGGTGAGCGGGGAAGTGAGGGACAGCCGAAGAACAGACAAGAGAGGAAGCGTGAACAAATCCACAAGGGCCGTGACGAGGATTCGAACCTGCGTCCGGGAGCATTCCAGACACTACCCTTGTGGATTTGTTCATTTGATGCATCACGTTAGTGTGATCTGTGTGTGTGAAGAGAGGAAGCGTCTTAGTCGTAGTGCCTGGGCTTAACCCAGCTGCTGGACAGTAAGTCGACGCTGATTAAACCGTCGGCAGGAACGCCAGGCTAACCCGCCCTCACATCAATGACCTGGAACCCCATTAGTGTTGTAGTTTCCAGTCTACATTCTAGCGGTGTTGTTCTGCTTTGCCATCTTTTACATCATCATCTTTGGTTCTCGTTGTCCTGTTGTTGGCAATTTCACTGCCATTTCCAAGGTAAAGTTCGCAGTATTTCTCATCTACGATATTTGTGTGAAGCAGTTTAATGTCGAATTCTTCTTGGATGACTTTTGTTTATATTATGGTTATGGTCCCGTCTGCGCAGGCCAGGTGTCCTCCCCGGTAAACCTGGTCGAGGTGAAGGTACTGCGTCTGCTCTCTGGCATTCCAGGAATACACTGATTTATTTCTGCTTTCAGGGTATCCAGGTCCTTGGTGGTGGGGTCCGGGTCTTTGGGGGTGGGATCGGGGTCCTTCTGGGTGAGGTCCGGGTCCTTGGGGTGGGGTCCGGGTCTTTGGTGGTGGGGTCCGGGTCTTTGGGGGTGGGATCGGGGTCCTTCTGGGTGAGGTCCGGGTCCTTGGTGGTGGGGTCCGGGTCTTTGGGGGTGGGATCGGGGTCCTTCTGGGTGAGGTCCGGGTCCTTGGTGGTGGGGTCCGGGTCTTTGGGGGTGGGATCGGGGTCCTTCTGGGTGAGGTCCGGGTCCTTGGTGGTGGGGTCCGGGTCTTTGGGGGTGGGATCGGGGTCCTTCTGGGTGGGGTCCCGGTCCTTGGGGTGGGATCCGGGTCTTTGGTGGTGGGGTCCGGGTCCTTGGGAGTGAGATCCGAGTCCTCAGGTCTGGTTTCCTGCTCATATGATGCAGAGTCAGTTAGGGTGGTGAATACATTGGTGTATGTATGAATATTTTAGCGTTGCATCATTAGATGATGTGTCGAGGTCAGCTGTATCTTGAGTAACTGCTTGTTCTTGTGGCGTAGTTGCCTTCACTGGTAAAGCTGTTAGTACTAGCAAAATTATGCCTTGTACAAATTATGCCTTATGCAAATTATGCCTTGTACGAATAAGAAAATACTGCCTCTGAATAAAGGGGAAATGTTTAACCAATATAATTATATTTAATAAATGTGTTACATAATTAAGATATTAACTGTTTATTGAGCATTATAAATTCCCCAAAACCTAGACCTACCCAGCCCTGAAGGATCACAAATAGTGAAGACTGCTGAACAAGAGTTTACCTGCTTAAATCAAGAGTGTCCTCAGGCTTGGCCCAGTAGCTGAACATGACCGGGACAGTAGAGAGTGCCTGGACAGTGACGCCAGTGTCATCCATCTCCCGGAGACGGGCACTGGCACTCCAGCAGTTCTCTTCAACCACACGAAAGAGCTGACCATCTTTGACCATATTCGCCTTCCCTGGTGATGAGAGTATAGTGGTAGGCATCCTGCCGTCTCGGGAGTCTACGGGGTTGTATACTTCAGTACAGTATACAAATACTCTACAGTATACTGTAGAATGCAAGATGTGGTGGGGGGCCGTGTGGGTATGCGGGGGGGGGGGTGCAGTCGATGTAGTTGCAAAGGAATGGAATGGAATCGTCAGGAGAAAGCACTAAGCCATTACGACTATATTGCACTTGGGAGGGATATATGGATAAGGATTTAGGATAGGATAGAGGGAAGGAATAGTGCCCAACCACTTGGACAGTCAGGAAATCAACGCCGACCTGCCAGATGCGAGATCGTCACCCTACCGTCCAGTCCAAGTGGTTAGACGTCTAAGCAGGTAGGTATATACCTAGGTGAATAACTCCATTATATGGAACTCAAACAAGTCACAATGGTCAAGTGCGTCGACCAGGAGGCCTGGTCGACGACCGGGCCGCGGGGACGCTAAGCCCCGAAAGCACCTCAAGGTAACCTCAAGGTGGGGTAAGGCAAGCGTCTGAGAGTCACTAGAACGCTGGTTCAAATCCCCACATAGTCTGATGGAACTAAAAATGTCTATACACAGACCTGGTGTCGCGCAGGAGGCATGATCGAGCTGGATAAAGCCACCGTAACCGTAACGCTCTTTCAGATTAGGCCAAGTGTGTGGCAGGATATGGTTGTGAAGGTCCAGCTTGAGGAATGGCATCTCACTGGTGTGTAGCCTCCCACTGGAAAAACAAGGCAAATGATAATGATGTATATGAAAAATTAGGATGATACATATGGAAAAATTAATGTTGGTTCGGGTGATGGACGCCACATCTTCACTATTCACCATCTTTATCCCTGTAACATCTTACATTTTTATCCCTGGAGGTCAAGGTTGAAGGAGGCGAAGCGCAGATGAGCCAAACTTCTACGCAAGTTTTTAACGTGAGATTTTTTTGTCAACAAATGGGATTCCAGACAGCACAAGAAAGTTGGGAGTTGCTGAACCAGATGACCGATGGCCTGAGGGCCAACTCCCCCACAATCCCCGCTAACACAGCCAGATTTAATGAGTGTATACATGCCTCCCCACGCACACACACCCCGCTTAGCCACAGCCGTGTCTCTAGTCCTTCCTACTCTCCTCCTTCCTCGTCACAATTCCTACTCCCTCCATTTGCATACCTTATAAAAGATAAAAACTATTACAGTATATATATGGAAAGAGACAGAGTGAGTGAGTGAGTGAGTGAGTGAGTGAGTGAGTGAGTGTGTGTGTGTGTGTGTGTGTGTGTGTGTGTGTGTGTGTGTGTGTGTGTGTGTGTGTGTGTGTGTGTGTGTGAGAGAGAGAGTTCTTACATTCTTGTACAGCCACTAGTACACATAGTGTTTAGAGCAAGTCCTTAACCTTCTGTTCCCCCAGAATACAACTCGCCAAATCGTTTAACGACCAGGTACCCATTTTTTTACCATTTTACTGTTGGGTGAACAGAGGCTACAGTTAAGGATTGGCGCCGAGTAAATCCTCCCCGGCCAAGATACGAACCCAGGCCAAAGGGCTCGCGAAACGGCAGACGAGTGTGTTACCATTTCGCCACGGGGACTGCAAACTGTTAATTAATGCTAAATTAAAAGTTAACATGCGAAATAAAAGCTGGAGTCCGGTTATATGAGACAAGCAGTGTATGGTGTACATTAAGCGATGTCATCTATAGCCCACCGTGTGTATAGCGTCCAGGTGGTGGCCAGCAGCGGAGCAACACCCTCCCTTCACAAGTGTATGATGAACACTGAGCCAGTGTAGCAACGTGCCCTTGACCAGTTGAGCTGCCACAATCTTCTTTCTAAATTGATTTGTCTAATTGTATAAACGTCTTCCTACTGAGCCTGTACTTGCATAATTTAGGGAAATGTGAAAAAATGTATATTATAAACCCGTGTCCAGGTAACATATAAATATATTTGTCAAGATAATGTGATACGGCAGCTCTTGAATAAATAATATATACAGGGAGACAGGCAGCCACCTTAGCAACAGCTAACAGTTATCTTAAGAGAGACTAATACCAAATGAGCGTTTACTCTCTGATTAACAAGATCACTTGTGTTGAATATAGCCACAAAAGCAACTACAGCCACGAGGCTACTACGCTTTTAACATGCTATGGTTGACAGACGAACACCGCCTTGGCCACTATCTACGTAAATGTGAACACCTGAGGGACATTAGAAATATGTGTAGAATAATAAACCCCACATTGTTTGAGTTCGGAAAACACTATTTGTCAAATATTAATACTGTTCTTAAAAGATTCCCACATTTTGCACCCGCAAGATAACGTAAGATTTTAAGAGTTGGCAGATGTTAATCTTCTAGTTTGATGAGGTGCTCACTTGAGACAGTTCAGCAAGTCCCAGCTGTGTCTGGGTACAAGTGACAGGATGAACAACCCAGCGGGTTTTCTTCCTATTGGGTAGTGTTGTACATGCTGCTATAGAGGTGTGTTCATTCACAAAGGAAATGTATATGTTTATCTCTCAGAATGTTTGGTAATATGTTTATTGTTTGTGATGTGTGTATATGTATGTATTAACACGATGTACTGAACGGGGTGAGAATAGCTTGAGCTACCTCATCCCTTTGTGTGTATTTTACCTCAATAAACTTATTTCAATTTCAATTTCAAATCATTCACAAGAGGAGTGTTGCTGCCCAATAAACTCGCCCCTGGGGGCAAAACTTAAAACTTAAACTTGTTGTCAGGAAGGAGTGCTATGCTGAGACCCTCGGGGGCTCGCCTCTGTCACCGGCTTCAGCTTGCAGTGTTAACTTATCTACAATTCAATTTCCTTCTATATTATGCACCCCATACCCATCCCGTGGGGGGTGGTGTAAAGGGTTACAGAGGCACATAATCGGTTCAGGAACTGAACCCTCTAGTTCGTTTAGCTAAGCAAATAACAATCTTTTGACGCTAGTTACACAATTATTAATGTTATATATACATCTACAAGGCGTGGTTTATAACGTATTTCTAAAACCAAATAAAATATTATAAAATTTGTTATTTTGACATTTTTTATAGATAAAATTCAATTTTATTATTATCCTAGTTCATATATTATGCACACCATACCCATGGTCTCGAATTGAGTTTTATTATGTTAGCAAACTTAAGTACACACAGCACTGTGCTGCTACCCTATTCTATATGAGGGATTACAGATCAAGAGCTAGTCATGAGATTAACATTCCCAGTCGTAGGAAATCAGGAGAAAACGTGAGATGCGAGTTTGATCTAGATTTAAGATGGATCAAACTCAGTTTGTACTTTCTTTCTTTCAAGCTTCATTGGCTTATCCATCTACGAAGTTATTCTTTTAAACTCCAACATGGGACAAAGTCTACACAAATTTTGTACAAAAGTTATTATCGTTGAAAAAAAGAAAACACCTTCCATTTAATATTATGAGCAGCTTATCGTTAATTGTGCTGGTTATTTAAAGATTGAAATGCACTTATATTTGCAAATCACTTCACCACCACTTAGTTTAAGGTTCTTAGTTTGTGTTATGTTTGCCCAGTCATTCAGTCTTTTCATTCAACACATTATTTAATTTCCATTATATATTGCACATGAACATTTCTGAGCTAATATGCACAGAACTACCATTCAATGACTAAGAATCCAATTAGTTAGAGATTTTGAACATTGTCAAAAGATCCTAGCATTATACATCTCATAGTTTCAGTGTTATAGGTTTGTTTTAATATAATGGATGTGTAATGTATAGAAACGTGCTCATCTTTCCAAGGGGAATGGTATTAACAATGTTGTTAAGATTAAGAGGCATTCAGTTTCCCAAGATTATTAACACAACTGAGCTAAAAACACTGTAAGGAGATTTTTCTGAAGGAGTGAGGAGACAAGAGTTGTTTAGAGTGGATCTGAATTTAATGTGAATAATGCTGGAGGGACAATTATTAAAAAAAAAAAGAAATTAACACAAAACATGGTCTTAAATAGAACTATTCTGTCATAAATATACCTTGCTACACCTGCTTAAATTTGCAGTTCTAATACAACAGAAATACCACTTGAAGCCACTAGCGAAAAAAAAGACTGACTGTACACTTCTGCTGTAGGTTGCCTGCTGGTGTGAGCTATGAGGACGGGGCCCTCCTGGAGCCGCTAACAGAGGCCGTGTACTCCTGTGGAGGGACCGATGTAGGTGCTGGTCTTGGGCACTGGATCTATTGGTCTACTGGTCCTGCTGGTAGCCAGGGTCATGGGCGCCGTTCCCGTCTGTATAACTGCTAAGATGTAGCCAGAAATCAATTACAGTATTATTATTAGTAGTAGTAATAGTATTTATTTGTATTTCAATACAAATACTAATGGATATACAAGTAGTGTATATCCATTAGTAATACTGATGAATATAGATGTGCTCATGCAGGAGTATCCTATAATTTTAAGTCGAGGAATGTGTATTTCATTCACATACGGTACACACTGCCTCTCCATCGTTCACATACGCTACACATTACCTCCTCTCCACCCCCACCCCCAAAGGCTTGTTAGTTTATAAAGAAAAAAATAAGTTTAAATGAAGTCGGAAGCTTATTTGTTTAGATATATATATATATATATATATATATATATATATATATATATATATATATATATATATATATATATATATATATATATATATATATATGGACAAATTATGGAGTAAAATATATAAATATTTTGGTGTATATATACATTATATATGTAAAGTATGCTATTGAGTGTAAGGATGCTGAAGTATATCATCCTGTAGGTCAGAGATGAAGGAGATGACTATCTTCGAAAGACTTGGCAAGTTCCGGATGGGAAGTGGGAGTACTTGTGCTACGGATGATTATCACGAGTACAGTTCCCTAGTACTTGAACAAAAGTACTGTTCCAGCAGTTAAAAGTACTGTTCCAGCACTTGAACAAAAGTACTGTTCCAGCACTTGAACAAAAGTACCGTTCCAGCACTTGAACAAAAGTACTTTTCAAGCGCGTGAACAGTTTTGTTCCCGCACCTGAACAAAAAGTACAACTTAAGCGCATGAACACAAGAAAAAGATGTGTGGGTTGAGTAATGTCCAGTCACGTTATTGTGACTGTGTGTACGTAGTCACTGTGCCAAAACAGGTCGACATAAAAGGTGGAGGTAGATACGAGTTGTTAATTAACTCTGAGACAAATCAAAACAAGGTTGGTTGACCTGGTTGATTGACTCAACCAGGTCAAGGCTCAATTTGATTCAAGAGTACATACAAAAATTATCATGAGATCTCTTATAATGGATGCCAGAAATATATTAAAACATTATACTCAGAGTCACAATAACGTGGCTGAAGAATGTTGACCAGACCACACACTAGAAAGTGAAGGGACAACAACGTTTCGGTCCGTCCTGGACCATTCATAAGAATGGTCCTGGACGAACCGAAACGTCGTCGTCCCTTCACCTTCTAGTGTGTAGTCTGGTCAACATTAAACTCAGAGAAAAAAAACACAAACTCGTCCTTAATATATGGTTATCTTGCGATGATTTCTGGGCCACGGGCGTAAAGCAAGGTAAAGCGTACATAACATGATTACATAACATGATGGTGGGGGTACATGAGGGCGAGATTAGACTATAAATAACACCGGCAACATTATGATGATGTTTGTGAAAGATAAGGAGGATATAGTATGTGGGATGTCGAGTGTTTAGAAGTATAATGACAGAGTATTTTAAAAATAAGGACATTTGTAATGTGTGTAAAATGGAATGATGGACACGTTTACATCTCACTAAGGATGTAATTTATAGAATATCCTTTGTTCGATAATTGTGAGCTCCTTGAGAGACTTGTAATTGAGGAGATTGATAACAACCTAAGCAATTATATCACTAATTATATTGATATGGTGTTTATTGTCTCAATAAATGTAGTTAAACTTGAGAATAGACGTACACAGAGCGGCTTTTAACCGTTCACAATTTATTCTTATATTGTTAAATTTAATGCAAACTGCACTTGTCAATAATTCAGGCGCCTTCTCAGAGTAATTGATAAGAAAGTAAGGATAACATTATTTTCTGCAATAACCACTCAAGCATTTAAATCACTTTCAGTTCTCCTAATTACTAGACAATAATATGTGAGTAATTTTTATTTATTTATTTATATATATACAAGAAGGTACATTGGGTTTGTGAGAATACATTGGATAGTATTCATTGCATACTATGCATTGGATAATTATTTATATCATATTTGTGGCTGTTGAAGATTCAGCCTTCTTAGTAACAACTGATGTATTAGTAATCCTTGATAACGCTTGCTGTATGCTCGCAATCATTGATGATCCTGACGTGTAAGGAATCATTTATGATGTTGATGTTAGAAAGTTTTCATGACAAAACACTCCGCATCATTTTCTGTCTTTGGGCCGAGTACAAAGGGGATATATTCAGTGGTGTTGGGGCTGGTATATTGTTGTCAAACATGCTGGAGATATGCTGATGACAGTGTCATGTTTGATATTTGTGTTAGTGTGTTACAAGTATGAACTGAGCTTAGTGTTTCTAGATGTTTATCATCTTGTGTTTTATCTTGTTTTGTTTCTATATTCGGTATATTTTGTCCTAGAAATTCACGATAACTTTTGTTAAAAATGTGTCTTTTGCTGTGGAAACGAAGGGTGCCCACAGGGATTGTATTAATCATTTGTGTATGACTTGTATTAATATTGTGGATCTTTTCTCTTGAGTATGCCACTGCTTGTGATCTGAACATACGCTTGTAAATCAGCAATAAAGATACTCAATAAAAATGTTGGTGTTACGGACGGAGCTGTACGAATGGGATTGCGGTGCATGGCAGCTCAGAATGAGCTGTGAAGGTTGAACCTTGGGAGTGTGGAGGCTGGAGTCAGCTGGTGGAGCGGGCCATGTACTCATCACACCAGTCCACTCCAGTCCACACCCAGGCTGACGGCTGAGCGTCAGCTCCTTGGCTCCCATCGCTGTCTGTGATGGATCAGGATGATGCAGGTTAGTTGTTGTTGTTGTTATAGATTCAGCTACTCGGAACAAGCTCCAAGTAGCACGGGCTATGGTGAGCCCGTAACTTACCTGGCACAGGAGCGGGGCAAGTAGAACGGGCTATGGTGAGCCCGTTGTGGACTTACCTGGCACAGGAGCGGTGCATGATGTGCTGCAGGTTAGTGATCATGCAAGCTTTTATAGGTGTTGACCAAACCACATACTAGAAAGTGAAGAGTCGACGACGTTTCGGTTCGTCCTGGACCATTATCAAGTCAATAATCACTTTTATAAGTGATTATTGTCAATTGAAGAGGCTGCGGGCCGGATATAAGACGGACCATGGGGCCGGCTTCCCTTCATTACGGGCTATTCATGCCCGTGCCACCTCTAGGGTGGCGTAATCTTCATCAATCAAACGGCTTCTCTCCACGTCACTGACGGTGTATTTTTAACGCTGATTTTAGGAAAATTGTGGCGGGGACAGCACGAGGTATAGACGGCGTCTGTCATTTGTTTGCCAAACTTAAAACAAAACCCAAGTTGTTATATTGCATCATATATTAAAATAGTCGATTGAGCTCCGCTAATGGTCAAACCTAGATTTGAATAATGTATCTCTTCATATATGTGAGAAAGGCTGCACGAACTCGCAAGCCATAGATCACTAAAAACTCTAAATGAGCCGACCAGGATTCAAACCTATGAGGTCCAATATCTCTCCCAAATGTAAGCAGTAGACGACCAACGGTGTGGTCACGGTACGGTGTACGTTTTGGGGTGATCCTCGACGTTATGGGTTCGAATCCTTGTCGGGTTATTTAGATTTCTAAATAAATATATATATAGAGAGAGAGAGAGAGAGAGAGAGAGAGAGAGAGACAGAGAGAGAGAGAGAGAGAGAGAGAGAGAGAGAGAGAGAGAGAGAGAGAGAGAGAGAGAGAGAGAGAGAGAGAGAGAGAGAGAGAAAGAGAGAGAGAAAGAGACTAATATATACTCAATATATTTGAACTGTATTGTCTTTACATGCTTTGTTAATAAGGAAATTTATGACCTTTCTCTAAGGTTATTAACAAAAAGTAATGAAAATATTGATCTTCAAATCTAAATTGGGAGCATCATAACATAAGTGTGTGAGGCCCAACAGAGCCTAGGCGGAGTCCAGTGTCGTAACATTTCTGTTCCTCACTCGCGAAGTGACTCGCATGTGTCATGATACTGCTGCCATATTCCTCACTCGCGAAGTGACTCGCATGTGTCATGACACTGCTGCCATATTCCTCACTCGCGAAGTGTCACGCGCCCGTGTCGCGACACCATTCTCTTAATGTTCCTTTATTGAAAGATGTGTAGACATGATCATTGGTGATAGTGGCTGACTCTTGGGCAAGCGCCGGCTAGCGTCTGGAGGCTGTGGAAAATCTTGAAGGTCATGGAGGGTAAAGCCAGTTTATTACCGTCAATGTAAAGTTGTGCTCACAAGACGGGAAATTTTGCGTATTTGATTATTCACAATTTTGCACTCCTGTATAAGCCATATCTTGCCCATTGATTACCCACCACTTGGGCAGACTTTTTGCCCTTGACAACATACCCTTATGCTTACTTCTTGCCCTTGACAACCTACCCATATGCTTACTTCTTGCCCTTGGCAACATACCCTTATGCTTACTTCTTGCCCTTGACAACATACCCTTATGCTTACTTTTTGCCCTTGACAACATACCCTTATGCTTACTTCTTGCCCTTGACAACACACCCTTATGCTTACTTCTTGCCCTTGACAACACACCCTTATGCTTACTTCTTGCTCTTGAGAACCAACCACTAGCGCCCACTTCTTGCTGGTTTTCTTCTCAGAGTCACAGAGGAAGATGCTGGACAGGTCGGGCCTTCCTGTCGGGGAGGAGGACCTGGCGGTGCCACTGATGGGGAAGGACCTGGAGGTGAAGGTGGTGTCCCCCAAGCCTCCTCCTGCCGCCTGCCAATCTACTCCGCCCTCTGCCAAGGACCGATGGTAACTCATAGCCTGGGACTGGTGCTTGGTGCTTCAGGCTGATATAATGCGGTGCGAGAGAGAGAGAGAGAGAGAGAGAGAGAGAGAGAGAGAGAGAGAGAGAGAGAGAGAGAGAGAGAGAGAGAGAGAGAGAGAGAGAGAGAGAGAGAGAGAGAGAGAGAGAGAGAGAGAGAGAGAGAGAGAGAGAGAGAGAAAGTGTCCTAGAGGCTACTACAAGAGAAGGCTAGTATATGTGAGGCTACCACATATGAGGCTACCACTCGTATGGTAGAGGCTACCGCTCTCTTTATATATATACGTTAATCCACGATAAAGTAATGATCTAACCTTAAATGTTGAGGTATGAGAGTATTCTTGTTGGTAGGTACGGGTGGGTGGTGGTGGCGGCCACCTTCGTCATCAACGTGATCGTTGCCGGGTACGTCAAGAGCTTCGGGCTCTTCTACCTGCCCATCGTGCAGCAGTTCCCCAACACCTCCGTAGCCACCGGGGGCTTGATAGTGGGCCTTCTGACGGGATGTCGGGGGCTGCTTGGTGAGCACTTTGAGGTACCTTCAGTCACGGAGATGTTCCTCTAATACCACACGGTTAAGTGTCGAGAAAATCTGTCAGTTAGTAATTGAAACATTGTAAATTACTTCTAAATAAATATTCACTGCTATTCAGGTAACATTATTTAGAAGCATCTTGTTATCTGGGATAAAAATGTATTTATATAATATAACCATTGACGTGATATATGTCTTTGGTGCAAGATATGTGCATCTAAGTGTTTAGGACGTTTGTGAATACCTTCAGCACCTGCGATGGGGTTGCTGATGGTGTGGCTCGGTCCTCGGGTGTGCAGCGTGTGTGGTGGTATGCTGACCGCCCTGGGCTTCCTGCTGGCCCTCCCCGCCACCTCCGTCCTCCACCTGGCCATCACTCTGGGGGCTCTAGTAGGTAGGCTTCGAGTGTCCTGTGGCTCTTCACCCGGAGGTGCTCACACCGCCTCACTTTCCCGATCTCGCCGTTGTGTTGTTGTGTAAAGCTTTTCTTGAATGTAACATTTTTCTATCAGTAAGATATTAGTTGAAGTAAAAAGTCAAGTAACTGTGTTTTCATGGGTGTTCACAGGCGTTGGATTAAGCATGAGCGAGACTCCTGGTTTCATCATGATCTCCGAGTACTTCGATGAGCGACGCTCCACCGCCAATGGCTTTCGTGCAGCTGGGAACCCCTTCGGAGGCGCGGTGTTTCCGTTCATCGTGGTCTTCCTGTCCCGAGAGTTACCGCTCAAGGGGATCATCCTCATCCTCTCTGGCATAATGCTGCAAATATGCGTCCTGGGCATGTTGCTAAGACCCTTTCCCATCCACCAGAAAATCATAGAGCAGGAATACTTTAAAAACATCGCCTCTAATTCTCACACAAACCAAATTAAACAGCCCAGTCAACCGATATCCCCGATCGAAGAAGATAACTCACCAAAACAGAAGAAGGCGGTACAGCTATCGGTCCTGAAGAATCCAGTCTACCTTGTTTACATCGTGATGATCGTCTGCACGAACGCCGGCCTGGCCAACACTATGTTTTACCTCATACTGTACAGTGCGTCCATCGACCTCACTCAGACGCAGATTTCCTTCATCGTCGGGTTTATCTCCATCTTGGACGTGTTCGGGAGGATGATGATCGGCTGGATCAGTGACACCAACTGTGTGAAGAGGAGATACATCTTTATACTCGGGTCAGTCATCCACTCACCAGTCTCCTTTTGTTGGATTTAGTTGGATTTATTGTTCTGCTTTGTACAATGTATTTGCTATGTAATGTTTATATAATAATGTGGATTTGGTTATTTTATCGTTTTTGAATTAATGTAATGCTAAACTTTAATATGGTTACTGGCGTTTAATATATATTTTAAGTGTTGTTTCAAAATTTACATATAAAGCAGATCGAATAAAAATTAGCACAATGTGCTTAAATGGAATTAATGTCAAGCCTATTAAGTGAATCTTAATAATCACTGAAAGGGAAGCCTAGCGAGACGCGCTGCTTATACTAATGCTATTTCCCCCACTTAGTTCCCAAGATGACACATGATACTAATACAAAACTCTCAACACGCACGCCTCTGTAACCCTTTCCACTACCGCCCACAAGATGGGCATGGGGTGCATAATAAATGAACTAAACTGTCAACACACTAGGCACGTTGTGGCTGGATTGTCGACGCTGATGGTGCCGGTGACCAGGAGCTTTTGGACGCTGCTACCAGTGGTGTGTGTGCACGCGATGGGTGTGGCCGCCTTCTGGGCCCTCATCAACACCCTCCTGGCTGACCAGTTCGGCGAGGAGTCCTTACACACCACCTGGGGGTTCTTCAGGATGGTCCAAGGAATTACCAGCTTCGCTTATCCTTCGTTGTTGGGTAAAACCGTTTTCTTTAATTTGACAATTGTGCTGAATACAGCATTTTTTAAATATTAATTAAATAATGTATGTTATTTACAGAGTTCAGAGTTTTGTTGCTTACAAAAACCTTGGTGTACAGGTTTGGTGTCTGACATGAGTGGGTGGATGGGGGCGCCCTTCCTCCTCATCGGCTCCATGTACCTGCTGGGAGGTCTGGTTTTCGCCCTCCAGCCCATCGTCATCAAAGTCTCAGGTATCAAGGTCCCGCTGACGTGATGCTCCAGCACCATCCACAAGAGACTGTGACCTTACCAGCTGGGAACTCGACATAACACACACCAGCGGACAACAACTGTTCCAGGTGGAATGCGAGAAGCGGAGATTGAAAACACGCCAAAACATTTGGCGTGACAGATCAGCAAAACGGATGAAAGTCCTCCTCAGTGGACGAAAAACTGGCTGCGTCAAACACAATTTAATTATTATAAGATATGACAAAATCATTGGAAATTACGAGAGAAGTTGGGCCAGTTTCTAACCTGTAAAGAGGGGAACCCAGGAGCTAAGTTCCCCTTGCCGGTAACCACACGCTACTTGGTGGCTCCCTAAAAACTTTGGAAGAATAATGTGTACACAAGTTTAGCCAAGAAAGTCTCAAAACTCATAGAAGCTTGAAATATTGTGATAATTAATTGCTGAATATAAACTAATGGTTATGTTGCTCAATATGACATCATTTGAAAACAATTTGCTTAATTACATGCTTGATTATACTGGCTACAAGCAAACGGATGTGTTCAGACAACTACATAGCTGTTACGGGAGGAGCTACGCAGACTGAGAAGCGAGCTCAACATCTGGTTCCTGGATGATGGCACTCTGGCAGGCACACGTCACTACGAGAGAACCTTCAGCCACTGAAATCTAAGAAAAAGGAGTTGGAATTCGCTCTTAATCCATTACAGTTGGAAATCGTTGCATCTAACCTATCAATCACAGATGCGGTAAAATCCGCTTTACCAAGCACCTCAATTATCACTCCCGCCAACAAAGGAAATCTTTGGGTTGAATGTCAGTGCTGTAATCTTCAAAGAAAAGCGGAACGATTTGAGAAGGACGATTGAAAGAACTGTGGATGCCCATGATGCTTCGTAGCACTCACTAGGTGCCAGATCTTACCCAGGCTTACTGCTTTCCTAAGGCATGCACTCTCCTTCGACTGACCAAAATTCAAAAGTGTTACTTAATACTGAACTATGTCTATCACTGAAACTATCAGAAAATGTCACCCCTACTTTCAAAAAGGGCAGAAAGAGCTCAGTAGATGGTTACCGTCCGATTAGCCTAACCCCACATATCTACGAGCTCATGGAGAGAATCCTAAGGGAGGGAATCATTCACCATCTCACTGTGTACAGTGAAGTCAAATCAACGCAACATGGTTTTGTTAAAAATAAATCCTGCCTTACAAACATGCTCACATTTTTTTAAACGTTAACAAACTAGTCAAATGAGTTCCAGTAGTCAAAATATAAATGGACTTCTCTAAAGCTTTTGATAAGGTACCACATGAGAGACTGACAAGGACACTGCATGCACGTGAAGTAAATGATAGAATGCCAGAATTCATAAAAAAATGGTTAAACAAAGAAAGCTAAGGGTAGCCCCTAATTGTTTACGATACAAATATTGGAATCAATGGGAAAGTTCGTTTAGGTCATTTATTATCCATCCTATGAGTGGTAGTGAAAAGGTTGCAGAGGCACATAATGGGCTCAGGGACTGAGGCCCAAAATTCATTAAGCAAGATACAGTCTTGATTAGCTATCTACATAGTTTATTGTATATATCAACAATCATTTATAGCATAATGGGTTCAAGAACTGAACTCCAACAATTTGCTGGTACACCACAGAGCCATCCAGTGGAAGGTTTACAATCTTGTGCATGCAGTACCCACAGTAAACAAACTATCTGGGATATTTGGCTAAGATTTCTGGTAGTATATAATATTAAATTAACTACCAACACATATTTTGAACATTTGAAATAAAATTATCTCAAAAGTCTTGAATTTTTTCTCGTTCAATTACATAATGACGTAAGGTATGGGAACACTTCTGCTGGCAGATTTACAGTTGGTCAGGTGTTCTTCATGTTCTTCAAACTCCCACATGTACTTGTATCCGAGGATAAGCCTAGCAGTAGTAACGTCTAGAAGACTTTTGACCTTATTGGATGAACCATAGATATATGATGATAAGATAACTAGTGTGAATTTCGCTTTATTTCATTCTACTATAAATGTTATTGCAGTTCTCAGTGGAAAGTAATGATAAAATTGCATAAACTATATGATAAAATACAAAATTAATTGATCCGACAACAAATAAATTTATCCAATTTCCAAAGAAAAACGTTTGACTATAAAGGTTAACGTCTGCCTGTACTAGGCTGGAAGCCTGGTCGGGGTCGGTCCCCATGCTAAACTTAAAGAATATCGGCCTCCACTGAAGGGAATCGACCCTCACCCTCCAACCCACTCTTGAAAGGGTGTCAGCCACTGTACCCAGTTTACAATGTTGGTGGATATGAAATGAGCCACTCAAAGTCGGTAGAGTTTATCACTCATTTAAATATTAGTGCATTCAGAAATTGAGTTGCAAAACGTATGTTCAGATAACAGATTTGCATTCTGCATGCAACATTTTGATTAACAGTGACCCCCCTTCCCCCCACACCCCTCCTTTTTTGCCCCCCTTCCCCTCTCCCTTTTTCTTCCCCCTCTTACCCTTCTCTCCCAACCTTCTACACTATCCATAATCTGTAACACTATAATAATAATAATAATAATAATAATAATAATAATAATAATAATAATAATAATAATAATAATTTCATAAGAATGTGCATATAAAGATATAAAACCCGACGATTCTTGAGCATCAGGGGGCTTCATGCACAACAAAAACTCATAAAGAGTTGGACAAATATAAAATTAATTTCTAGGCATTATCCAATATGTTCTTATGAACAGCGCCAGCTAAACGTCTAATGCAATAACAAAACTAAACCTGTTACAGTAACCATTAACATGTGTACCTTATCCCCGCCTACAGCTGTTGACTATACGATAAACACGGTGTCATTAGCTTTTGTGCTTGTAATGATGATAATTAGTGCTTGTGTCGTAGTGCTTTTGTGTTATGTTACCTGCAGGTGTTACACTGCCTGCGGTGCTATATGTACATGTTCACAATTATATGTCATATGTCATCAACACAATTTTATTACATTGATAAATGATCCAATTAGGTGCATATGTTAAAACTTGACTACATCAAGCCTTCAATACAGGATGGATATCTACTAATACACCTCGAGTGTATTATGTTCTCATAAGTACATTTAATTCATAAAATATTATTAGTTATTTTTTCTACAAACCGAAGGTCCCGACGTTATCTGATTCCTGCGACAGGAAAGAAACATTTGGGCAGCATTTCCTTTCACCTTATACCACTGTTCACCTGGCACTAAAAAGGTGCCTGGTAGTTTGGTAACTGTTGTGGGTTGTATCCCAGGTTAGGACCAGTATAGTTGATCTAGAACCCGTGGCCTCGAAAAGCCTAACAGGATTTCTTTCTTCTACAATGGGAACCATAAAGGGAGTCATGAAAATTGGTTTATGAACAAATGGCTTCCTGCTACCTTTAATGTCAAAGAACACTGTCTGGCTAACAACAAAGACTGCCAAGGGTATAGATTCATTCCTTTCAATGTTTTCCTAGATGCTAAAATTATGAGAAGAATTAGGATAGAGGTGGACAGTAAGAGACTATAGGATAACCTGGACAAACTTTGTCAAAGTCAAACTTTGTCATTTGTCAAAGATGACAAATGGTCCAACAAATGATTACTAGAGTTTAACTCGAGCAATGCAAAATAGTGAAAACAGGTGTAGGGAGCAAGATGCCAGATAAACGGTACTATTTGGGAGACGAAAGCCTTTAAGAATCAGGAAGAAAGATCTGGGGAGTTAATATCATGCCAGACCTGTTCCCTGCAGCCCACATCAAAAGGATATTATCGGCAGCATATGCTAGGTTGGCCAACATAAAAACTGTCTTTAGAAACTTCTGTAAGGAATCATTTAGAGACTTGTATACCACATGTCAGACCAATCCATGATTACAGCTCCAGTGTGGAGTCTGCGTCCAGTCCAGCACAAAACTAAGTTGGAGAAGGGTCAAAGGTGTGTCACCAAACTAATACCCGAGCTGAGGGGTATGAGCTATGAGGAAAAACTACTGGAATTAAATCACCACATGCAAAATTCTTAGGATAATAGATAGGATAGATAAAGACATTATTTAACATGGGTGGTACTCGCACAAGGGATCACATGTAGAGACCGAGTACCCAAATGAGCCACAGAGACAATAGAAAGATTTTTTCCAGTGTCAGTAGATAATCAATGGAGTGCACTTAACTAGGCAGCGATGTGATAGAGGCAGACTCCATTCACAGTGTAAAATTTAGATATGATAGAGCCCAATAGGCTCAGGAATCTGTACACAGTTGACTTACTGTTGAGAGGCGGGACCAAAGAGCCCAAGGTAAACTGCAGCAAGCACAACTAGGTGAGTATGCACCGCAGCCCCACCACCCACGGCGCACTAGGTCACAACCTCCTCATATTTTAGCATAATATTGCAAACAAATTAAATACTTCATCTTCTTAAGAGATATTTGACTACCTTGGGTGTGGTTTAATAAACGTTATATTAAAGCAAATAAATTAAAATATATTACTAAAATGTGACAATAAATCAAAGAAAAAGTTCGACAAATTTAAGGGATTTCTATTAATATCTAATATTCAGTCTTTATATCATAACAAAATATTCTATGAATAGTAAAACGAAACTTGACTTCAAGGAAAAGAAGGTAGTTATATTCAACTGTACAAATCTCTGGTGTGCCCCTATTTGGCCTACTGTAGCCAAGCATGGAGACCTCATTTTCAGAAGATCTTCAGAAGATGTATATGTACTTTGGAGAAAGTGCAACACCGGCAACAAAAATCATTCCAGAACCAAGTCAACTCTGAAACCAGGAACGGTTGAGGGCCACAGAGCTAAGAACACTGCAAACTAAACATGACAGGGCTGATAGTGGCCTCTGAAGTATATTAAGTACGGTACTAAATTTGTACACATGGCATTGAATTGTACTGGGCATCATCTGGGTCCAACTAATGACTCAAAAGTAACACAAATGACCTAATATGCCCAAATTAATTTGATCTTGTCAAGAATCCTTATGATACCTTACCTCTAAGTATTAGAGTTAATTGGAAATGCAGCGACTTGTCCGGATAACTTCCAATTCCTGTAGAACCCCTAACCCATTAAAAGCATTAGTGAAGGCTGCAATTACTGCCGATATTTTCGCCATACGACCTGACGATTTGTCAAAATGGGAGAGTTTTTGTTCAAAAGAAATCACCAAGATCCCGAAAACTGAAGTACAATTTTCAGGCACTGTGGTCATTGGTTGCTGGTAGCAGCAGCCAGATTTAAGTGACGGCTGCGCGAAAATGCTGTGTTGTTGAACTAATCAAGTCGGCGAACATCGTCCAGCGAAGAAAACAAGGAAGCAAACACTACCAGCGACCATACTACTGGCCTTATTATAAATTGGTATTTTGCATGAGTAAATGTTTTATATATACACACATTTGTGTATATATATATATATATATATATATATATATATATATATATATATATATATATATATATATATATATATATATATATTATTAAATATGACCGAAAAAGTAAGATTAATAATTCTAACACGAATTTTCTCAATCTTTCGTACATTTCGTTTCACTGTTGGAGGTAAATTAAAAAATAATTCTCCAGAATTCAATGTCTTCTCCAATGGTTTCGTCGAAGACATCATAAGAAGGAAAGTGAAAAGCCATGCAACCTCTGAAGAGACAACTAACACAACACCTACACCCCCTATTAGACTATTTTACAGGAACTTCTTTTCCACAGCTCATAAAACGGAGGAAAGGGTCCTGAAAGATATTGTTAATAGAAACGTTATCCCTACAGACAAAAATCAGAGGATACAACTGACGATTTACTATAAAACCAGAAAAACGGCCAGCCTACTCATGAGAAACTCTCCAGACACAAAACAGAACGCTTTAAAAGAGACTAACGTCGTCTATGCCTTCAAATGCCCACTTGGGGACTGTAAGCTCCAAAAAACCCAGTATATAGGCAAGACAACAACATCTCTTTCTAGGCGTTTAACGATGCATAAGCAACAGGGCTCCATTAAGGAACATATAATCTCTTCCCATAACCAAACCATCGCCAGATAAATCCTAGTAAACAACACAGAAATCATCGATAGATACAGCGATAGCAGGCGGCTTGACGTTTGCGAGGCACTACACATCAAGAAGTCAACACCAGCAATCAACAGCCAATTATTGCACAACTATATTCTACCCACCTCAAGACTCCGCTCCAATATAGAAGCATCAAGAAATATGGACCAATAGGCTTTCTACAAACACTTCTATTCAATACCCATTGTTTCTGTTCTGTCTTGTGTTGATACTTTTAATACCCTATTAATATCCCCTCTTGTTCTGTCTTGTGTTAATGCCACATCACCCCTCCCACCTCACTCGAATGTAGATATAAAATCAGAGATACGTAAGTTCTAATCAGTTGTGTATTTGTGAAGTCTTTGAAAATGTAATAAGTTTTACGAAACGCGCCCGTGTCGCGTCAGACTAGAAATAAAAATGAATTTTGGAGAAGTGATTTTTGATTTACCTCCAACAGTGAAGCGTAATGTACGAAAGATTGAGAAAATTCGTGTTAGAATTATTAATCTTACTTTTTCGGTCATATTTAATAATATATGTCTACAGGAAAGACTGCTACCAAAATATACTAATATATATATATATATATATATATATATATATATATATATATATATATATATATATATATATATATATATATATATATATATAATAACCTAGACTAATTTAACTAATGCATGCAGTGTGAAATAAATAAAACATAAATATATACTTTGGTCTGTAAAGTTTATAAATGTTGTGATCATGGCTCTACTGATTTTATCATTGATACATCATGTTAATGTAATTTCTTTGTACATTTGAAAAAATGCATAAGAAGTAGAATTCCTAGACTACAAGCCAGAGTGCATGGGGGCAGTGTGTGAAACCCTGATGAGGCTTTAGTGGAAGCCTCAGAAACCTTAAGAGATTTCATTTGAATCCCGGGTTGCAATGTTTTGACTATGTCATGGTGTAGAGGTCTAGAGTATTGGGAGTAGGGTCGCAGAGTACCCAGTGCATAGGTTCAAATCCTCCTCACGACTGCTACTGATTTTCTCATTGTTACTTCATATTAATGTGATTTCTTTGTTCATACAAGTAATAGTAATAATTAGTAAATTGTTACAGTATAATGAATTTTAAACTAATATTTAATATTAAAGAATGTACATTATTTTGGTTTTATTTTTGGTGGTAAACATTGTTTAATAAATGGGAATTATTATAACGAATACAGTACTGTATTTAAAAGTAAATGTAAGGAGAGTCAAAAGTAATGGTTAAAATTACTTAGTTAATTCAAATGAAAGCTCTGGATAGATGTGCTTTCCCAGATATACTTTCTCATAGTATACTTTACTATACTATATACTGGTATTTATTTATTTATTATTTATTTACTCATTTATTTATATACAAAAGGTACATTTGGTTTGTGAGAGTACATGACAATGGTGTTCTTATGTTCTTGAAAAGCCATTAACACACACAGCTTTTTGGGCAGAGGTATAATAATAGTGCATCTCACATATTAATTACAACATATCATTAAGTGTTCCTTTGTTTCTCCTAATTAATTTTTAGAGGTACAGAATTACAGCAATTAATTGTACAATGTATTTAGTTGGCTGTCCCACTATTTAGAACCCCTTTATTTATATGGTACATTACAGGTTCTGTACACATTACATTGGATGATAAAGGGGCAGCAAAGACCCTAAATGAATATTTTACACATAAGCTAATGAGAGTTTTGGAGCAAGTATATTATTGACATAATATACTTGCTATCAGCACCAAGCCATTATGACTATATAGCCAGGAGCATATATATAATTCTTGGAAGGGATCAGGATAAAGATTTGGGATGGGATGGGAGGAAGGAATGGTGTCCAACCACTTAAGATGGTCGGGATTGAATGCCGACCTCCATAAGGTGAGACAGTCGCTCAAATGTCAAGCCCAAGTGGATGGGCATCCTATCCTAAATCCTTATCCTATCCAAGTACTATATATAGTCATAATGGTTTAATGTTTTCTCTTGATAATTATCTTACCCTCCAAAATGAATCCTGCAAAACTACATCAGATTTCACTTTTATACCTTTTGCAACTCTGCACACACTTTGCACCCAGGAAAATTTTAAGCTCTTCTTCATTAAGCAGTTGCATGTTTTATTGCACCTATGCTTCTGGTGGGTTTTCACCAATTTTCTGATTGATCTTGTATCCCCCCACCCCCCTCTGGCTCCCCTAAACTTGTAGAGTAATCCAGATTCTGCTCCTGGATCCCATGTAAGCAAATAAGCCAAGATACAGATTTTATTTCCATTATTATGGAAGTTAAATATATTCATAGGCTCGGCAAGAGTTAATTTAGAAGTACTTTACCTCTTCAACAAAGAGAGGAGTCATTCCCTTAAATATTGAACAATAAATATATGTACATTATAAATTTTGCTTTCATTTTACAATAATACATCAGGTGTTTTATAAAAGTGGATAATCTTGGAACTGATATTATACAGTGTACACATAATTTATTGATCAATGCTTCAGTAATTTAACCTTTTCTGTATGTTTTATTGCTAGTTGCCTTTAAAAGCCTTTAGACATTAAAACGATGAAGAGTTTACACCCCCTTCAATACATTAGTTCCAAATACAAAATCTCTTACCACTTAGAAAGGTAGAAGTAAAACTGTGAATGGTAAAAAACCACAACTTTATTTAAATGCAAAAATTTTCAGCACCAAAATAGCTAAATATATTATGTTTTTTATAGTTTGTTTTTTCACTTTAACAAGTTTCTCAAAATGCAACAGCAAAACGAGACAAGATTTTAAAGCAGAACAATTCAACTTACATTCAAGTCATGTTTACTCATTAACTTGTTAAGCTGCTCCAGGCTTCAACATGTTTATCAGCTGCAACAACGTAACACATACAACTCTCTCATTTTATTTCTGTGCCCATACAAGTTACTTCCCTTGAGCGTCTATTTATCACATGCATACATACAGTATGTGAAGTTGTATATGTATAGATGTGTATGTACAGCATATATTTATACACTTATATATACAGTATATATATTTATACACATATAGTGTATATATATATATATACAGTACATATACCTGTATATATATATACACACGCACACACACACACATTCTGTATTTATTTAAATACCGGTAGTCATGGTTTTGTCATTCCCACACTCGGTATTCCTTACACTTTACTATGTCAAATTTAAGGAAATAATATATAAGAGAATTAAAATATAATATAAAATAACCAATATGGCTAATAATGATTAACAGGCATGTTGTAATATAGCTAACTTTGGCATACAATTACAACACTGCTTAATGCAGAGTTACACAATGAGTAGATGTCAATTAAAATATTACTATATAATATGCACTGCATTGCAAGACACTACCGTATCTTAAAGATGGTTTTACCACACCCCTAAAAATTCTCTCCAATCTTGGCTAATTACTCTCAAACTATATTAGCAGTTTATTTTCACCATAAGAAAATTATTACAAAATTTGGAACGAAAACCTGGAATAAAATTTAATATATATGTGCATGACATTCAGTCACATATACGTAGTACTGTATATTGACAAACAGTTTACAGTACTGTATACAGTATCTTAAATTACATTATTCTTTAACTGAATAAAATGTTTACTTCATGATTTTTAAACGGCAAACAAGTCTCAATTTATAGAGTTCATTAAATATAATATTGTTTATATAATTTAAGAACCACAGTCTAAGTGCAAATAGTATAGATCACATTCTACAATAAATTATAACAATATTAAAATTGATACTTATTTTCAAAGAATAATACAACAGTATTCACAAAATATGTAAGTGTTTCATATGCAGATTATTGTAAAATTGTAAAGTAAAAAAATACATACTAAGGATGAAAACCTAAAGCTAATGAACTCTTAATCTGTAAGTCACCAGCATATGTTAAGCTGCCAATAAAATATAAAGGTTGACTATTTTAGCTTTAAAAACTTTGGTGTTCAACAGCATAAGACAATTTACATTACAGTATATACAGTACTATTTACAGTACAGTATATGTATATATATTTATAATAATCATGGCTAAATGTAATGAAATTTGTGCATGATCCCACAATACGCACACAGGTGAATATTAATTAATGGTGCCATACCTTCACTTGTCACACTAGTGAAGTGCTCTGTATAGGCACAAACACTGAAATATTCTGGCTAAGCTTAATTGAAATTCCATGTTCATGTGAATAACAGGTAATTTATTTCACCTGCCATGTTATTGCACATTGTTAAAATAATTCCTGAAACTATCAAAACTACAGTACATATTTTTTTTTTTACAACGACATTTTGTTTATATAGGCACACAACAAAATTATTGCACATCAATTACGCTAAGTCATTAGTTAAAAAAAAAAATTGTGCATTGTGCAGAACCCCATTTCTCATTTTCATTGGCTGGGGAAAATACTATATTAAAACCTTATATTATGTGTGCTAAAATTCCGTAAATGCTTTATTTTGTGCGAATATCTCCTACTGTCATTATTCTTCATTTTATTTAATTTCCAAGGTTAACATGCGAAATGTACAGAACATGATTTTACTATTCTTGCAATTGCATTTTTATAGACACTAGTTTGCCCAGTGTTGGGGACTGGGGCATTAAAATAACCTAAAATGCTGTATTTCAGCTTTTACCTTTGGTTTCTAATAGCCAAAAAATCATATACCACCTCAAATATATGCAGTCTTCCATTCTTATTGTCAGTAAGAATTTACAGTATTTCAAAATTTATCATCATCAAAGTATTTGCAATTCCATTTTATGAAAATACTCTTAACTGCACAACACCCATCATCTACTTTTGGCTAAATTAAATAGTTTCTGTTAATCTTCAGTATTTTCCCTCTCAGATTCAATCGTAGTCATATTTACCGCTGAGAAACAACCATCTATAAGCATACAAAATTCTACATACACAGTACAGTATACACACATGCATACATAGTCACACAAACAGACTCAAACAGTGACTATAAAGGTATAAACAATGGAAGAAGGCAAGTTTCATTACAAAAGTTATTTTTTTGTTCTTTGAATAAGTGAAAGTTTGACTAATTATTACACATAGGTTTTCCCACTTCAAAACATATTATAGCAAACACACACGAAATTTGTTATATTACAATCTGTAGTTACAAAAAAATAGATGAACACAATACTAATAATTATCAGAAAAGACTAACATCTACAGCACATCCTATATATATATCAATACAAAAATTGCAACTTTTCTAATGGTTTGTACCTTAAATGCAAAGGCAAGATTGGCTTGGACATAATTCTAGGGGCATTTTAATTTCTTATTCACAAAAAAGTATTTCAGCACTAGATTTGCATTATTGCTTGTCAAGCACATTAAGCTGCAAATTTACATTCCCAGTTACATTGACACCTTACTCCATCACAGTTTTATTACTGGAATCAGCTGCAATATATTTGTGCCAGTCTTGAAACAGCTTGCATAATGTTCGGGGACATAGTACTGTAATTATATACATCATGTGTTGAGGCAGAGTTTTTTCACGTGGTAAGAGAATTGGGTAAAAAGTTGGAATTCTTGCCAGCGATAGATCCACCAGTGTCTGGGAACTTTGGACAGTCTTCCCTCTCTTCTACACGACCATCCTGGTTAACATTAAATGGATAAGTCATCAAATGAGAATCGTTATGTTCGGCCTCCTGGGATATATATTTCTGCATATTTGCCTCACCAAGGCCTCTCATTGCTGTCATGCAAGATGCAGATGAAGGTGATAGGTGTTCCTCCATGTGTGTGCCACAATGTTCTGCCCATAAAGAAAGACGGAACGTTCGAATATCACCTTCAATTTCCGAGTTTCCAAATTCTTCCTTTGTAAATTGTGGTTGGAATGCACCAAGAGCCATCTCCGAGTCACGGTTGCCACTCATACTACGTTCATTAATGTTGGCTGATCCTACAATTATATACTCATCATCAAAGATTGCCATTTTAGAGTGAACATAAATCATAAAGCGTAAACTTTCTCGTGCCTTGCCTGCAACAGAATCTGGGTCTGGTTGTTCCAGGGTATCAGGCACTTCATCTGGACTTTCACGCTTTCCTAGACAGAAGAAGCTTAGATAATCTGTTGGATGAGCATCAATTTTTGCTTTACGAATTGCCTTGGCAATCTTTCTATACATCATTTCCATTGTTCGGTGCTGCCAGTGAAGAATCTCTTGCACAGCTGTTGAAGTGGGGTCTCCTTCTGGATGGAGAGGAACAACAATATATACACGGAAATCCTCACCAACTTTAATTGCATTGATTATCCTCGTTGTGATTTCAATTGGAATCAAGTGGGGGCACTTGGCATCTTGCACAAGCCATCCATGAGCTGATCCAAGGAAGTATTGGTTTTCCAAGTATATAAAGCGCTTAGAACGTCTGATATGATGAACGTATGCCCTTTGGATAGAATTCTCATACAACCTACCTTTACGAGAAAGGAGACGATCCAATGCACTAGTATCAAACTGTGCTGAATCTGAGTTAATGGAGCGAAAAAATTGAACATTCCAAGGAGATTCATCGGTTACTTCCCAGTCCAAGACAAAATCATCTTCACTAATTGAAAGAAGGCGATTCTCCCGGTCAGGGGCTTGACGCCTCCATCTTTCAACAAAGTTTGAGAGTATATCTAGAGCTGCAGGTCCTTCAATATACATATGAATGTCATGCCATGGTTGGCGAGGCCCTGTCGACACACTGGATTGACATATACCATTATAAAAATCATTTTGGTGAATGTCTGGTAATGTTTTGAAAAGTGGGTGATCTGGAGTGTCCCACCGCCCATCAGTAAGATCAATACCACCAGCAAATGCAACAAGGCGACGCCTGTCATCACCCTCTACTTCAGCATCCACAATCACAGATTTCTGATGATGAGTGTATAGAGTAGCAACAAAGTTACTCTCCATTATCTTCCCTTTGTTCTTTTGACGTGGGGCCAAAAAGACCTCTACTTCTGTGCCTTCAAAGAAAATCCTAGTATCTTCATCATGGGTTCCCATGATTCCAGGGGTATACAGATCTGTACTCATTGCTTCATTCCATACCATCAATAGGACTCTTACACCTTCATCTGCTTTTCTTTTCAAAATATCTCCCAAACTTTCACATTCACCATCACGTACTAAGCAGATATCCGTCTTCACACTCCATCCAACTATGTAGATAAGCTTCTGTGCATTTTCAATAGCATTCATAATGTCTATCCATAACTGTGGAGGATCATAAAATTCTCCATCTTTGGAAAGAATATCAGTAAGAGGAGGGAGCGCAGGTGTATGAGCATCTTGGTATAGCTTCACTTTGCATCCTGAGCGCAATGGGAATACAGTATCTGGAACTTCATTTGACCGTGTGATAGACGAGGAAGAAAGGTAACGAAGGGCAATATTGATGGAACCAGAAGGATTGCCATCCTTTCCAATAAGTGGGAACCAACCAGTAACTGGCTCTTCTTCAATAATGTCTTCTGCTCTGATGCTCATGAAGCCCATACACTCTATCTTTACCAAGTCCAAGTCTTTGATAGTAAATAACAAAGACTCGGTTTCATGGCACATCTCAATTCTGAATTTTTCCCCCCAGTGAGGATTTAATGAATTGAAAATTATGGATGTCTTGGCAATACGGCAAGTCTTCTTACCCCCACAGCAAGTGTCAACAGTTACATAAGGGTCTGAAACATCCTTGGAAGAGCGGAACCAAGAAGTGTCGACATCTGGAAGATCACATGCCTCAATGATTTCCATATATAATACTCCATGCAGAAAGACCATCTTCCCTCGCTGAGCGTGCTCGCCACTCCTACTGAAGCCTGAAAAATAAATACTATTAGCATACAATAATTATTTGTTATAAATAATCTGACACCAAAAAAGAAAGCTTTTAAAAGAAAAAGAAAAAACAGTAAAGTGAAAGTTTAGATTATTGGTGATTAAATGGTCTATCCTATATCAGAAAAGGACTAATACAAAAATTAATTTAGAATTTCTGCACTGTATCAAGACAAATCCTAGTTACATTAAAAGGCAATTTAAATGTAACTCCTATAATTTTCAAAATATAAATTATGCATCAGAGACCATAAATATAACAAATTAGAAGACTGAAAGACTGAAAAATTAAAAGTGAAAATTAAGTGTTTGCAATAGCAATACAGTATACAGTATATACAGTACCTAGTTATTATTAATTCATGGCAAAACTGTATTTTTAGAAAATACTAAGCAATAAAAGAAATTAAAGAGATGTTATATGTCTACCTAATGTTTAAAATATAACACTGCTATTCATAATCAGTCTAATAAATATGAAAGAACATCACCCATTGGCTTTGAAGCATAAAAATAACATTGAAAAAATTTTATTCACTGTAAAATTTGAAAGAGCACATTACTGGAAAAAAAAAGGTTAACCATATTAGAGATACTGTATAAAAGTAAATCTATTCATCAACACTTGGCAGCATTGTGGAAGTTGCTACCAAGCAGCATTACAGAGGACTAGCACCAAACTTCTGAAAGTAATCCATAACAGGATGTCTAGTGTTATACAAGCCAGGTGTGAAGTGCTCCTCTTGAAATGTCACGGACAAAAATGTCCCCTTGCAAACTACTACTTATTACACACACAAATCACAATAGTGTGATGCGTCAAATGAACAAATCCACAAGGGCCATGATGAGGGGTTCGAACCTACGCCCGAGAGGATCCCAGACGTACCTTAATTGACTGTGCCACGACATGTTAAAAGGCATGGTAAAGGGTAAAAAGTATCCTACCCTCAAATTCACCGAAATGCTCTCCCTCTTCCCAATCATCTTTTTGTTCAATATGCTAAATTTAGTACTCTAGTCATATGATTCACCAACTTTCAAATTCTTTATCCTTTCATAACATTTTCATTCTGACTTATCCATAATTGTTTTCATATTTAATTATATAAATCATTACAGTTCAGGGTGAACAACAAGTGTACATGCATAACTAGATTGTGAAACAAAAATTAAATACTGCAACACTTAGTAAATAATTAGCTTGGCAACTGACAAATGGAGCTTAAAATATAAATAATGGAACTTGCACAGAGTTGATGTATAAATTAGATCATAAAAACACAAATATAAAAGTACAATAAAAAAGAAAAACTTTTGAGAAACATTGTACATAAGGTAACTGGTTCTACATCAGCAGTTCACAGGTTATCCTGGATTAAACTTACATTGAACACACAGCACAGCTCATGAAACACAACCTAGAGTAGTTCCAACTTCAACAGAATACAAAATATTGTTCAGCAAGTGATCTCTTTATGACAATTCCTTATTAATATAAAGTATCTGACTAAGAATGTTCCTGCTGGCATTTTATTCTATCCTGTAGACATACTACATCATTATACACATTGCTCATTTTCAAGATTTATTTTCTTATATACGTGTTTATAGCTCCTATGCTCCCGGGAAGGAGCAGACCCCAGATCAGTGGCAGATTATGCCCTTTGTGGGTCTCGAGAATTGATTGACTGATTGACAAAGATTAAGCCACTTAAGAGGTGGCACGGGCATGAATAACCCGTAGGTAGTGGCTCTTTGCTGCCATTTATACTCGTCGAGGCCACTAGTGTTAGTGGCTCTCAGGTAAACTCTGGTAATATCTACTGTAAATTAAAATTATCTACTGTACATGGTAAACAATCATCAGGGCAAATGGGGGTGAACTTTTGACAAGCCACCAGCTTCCTGTCCTCGTCGAGGCCACTAGTATTGGTGGCCCTCGGGTAAATTCAGGTAAAACTCACTTGGAGATAACCATCCATTCTCCCATAGGCCTTCCGGCAGGTACTTGGTCCACCAAAAGGTCATTTCTGAATCACTACCGCCTGCAGGGTGAGGCAGTCGCCACCATATATATACCTGTATATGTCCGCTGACCTGCTGCCTCTCATAACTATAACAGCGGTTGTTATAGTTATACCAACAACCCTTACGGCTGTTGGTATACAGTACTGTGTATGTTACTCAATTTTGCAATCGTGTACAGATATCAGTACAATAAATAGTTTAGTTACTCTCCCACTGTTCTTTTTATTTAAACTTCTATTATAATTTATAAATAGATACTCTTATAACATCTTCCTGCGCAGGATAATATTTTGGGCATTTGCACTCTTGTTTGACAATAATATATATTTGTAATATTAATTTATATTCAATAACACTTAATTTAATACAGTATTTATGTTTCAAAGCCAAATCATGGGTATTGCACAGTAATAGGTATCGTAGGATTCTCAGAATAACTTTAAGATAAATTAAGACATTTTATCAGTCTTGGTAACTAATGTAAGTAATTAAATTGAGTAAGTTTTTTCTTACTCATCCCATCCTCTAAACTGATGTACTCTATACAGTACATATAGTTACTATTATTATATCGTAATAATTCAGGAGAATGTATTATTTTTAATTTGTTTAAAAAATAAGCTAAAATATACATTCAACATGCAGATTCATGCCACTGAAAAGCGTCATAAATAAAATTAAGAGATAAACTCAAACCACACATATATATGTTGTATTTATATATGTATACGAACACATACACAATACATAAAAGCCGTATATTTGAGGTGCTATAATTTGACAAAGTGGACATACGGTGCTTTCTAAGTAACGTGTTAAGAGGTCTTCCAGATACAGCAGTCTGCTTCTCTAGCTTGAGTGCGTGCAAATGACTTGTGTAATTTATGCACGCTATTTTGTAATAATACAAATAAGGTGTGAATTTATATGTAAACTGACAGCAGGGGGGCAAGGTTAATGATCTATATTTTGTTTTAATCTTTGCTATGACACTGAATTACTTATTTCTACAACTTTATCAGCTGTAGACTGTACTAGACGCAAATGGATAAGTGAGCAAGAGTTTGTTTTTAAACCGAACTGTGCGTGTGAATGCCTTGATGTCCAGTGTGTGAGGGAGGTTGCATGCAGAGTGAATCACGAGGTGTGGTGAGGCCACTTAATGTCCTGCACTCACCCATCTATCACCCGGTGTGATGAATCACTGTATTGCCCTCACAATCTACCACCCAGTGCTGTGAGTCAGCGTACAAGTGTTGTGAGTCAGTGTACCAGTGTGGTGAGCGAGTGTACCAGTGTGGTGAGTCAGTGTCCCAGTGCTGTGAGTCAGTGTACCAGTGCTGTGAGTCAGTGTACCATTGCTGTGAGTCAGTGTACCAGTGTGGTGAGTCAGTGTACCAGAGTTGTGAGTCAGTGTACCAGAGTTGAGCCAGTGTACCGTCCGTTAAACTATCATAAATGTGGTAGTATGTATCCAAGTGAGAGAGTCGGCAAAACCATGAATCTGTTCGTAATCATGTACAGGAAGGACCTCTCAGAAGGATGTTGCTGAAGAAAATCACAACCCTGACTTTTGATTTATACAGGAAGTCAACAAGGACTGCAGACCCGTCAAGAAAATCATTGTCATTATAATGATTTTCCTGTCAAAATTGTAATGCACAGAAATTACAATATTAGGTATACGTTAATAGTAGCAAGGAATAATATTTACTGTATCACGGGAATAGGGGAGACTATGCAAGTCAAACATAGGGAAGACTATGCAAGACAAACATAGGGGAGACTATGCAAGTCAACCATAGAGGGAGACTATGCAAGTCAACCATAGAGGGAGACTATGCAAGACAAACATAGGGGGAGACTATGCAAGTCAACCATAGAGGGAGACTATGCAAGTCAAACATAGGGGGAGTATGCTATTCATAGAGTCGTAGAGTGAAGGTCGTCGTACGTCTGACAGGGCAGCTGGCTGCCTTGGCAAGTGGTAAGCATCAAGAGCGTCGTTCACTACCAGACAACTGTTGTACACTAGAAATCTCACACCAGACCATGAACATATAGTTATTGAAATGGAACACTCTCTCTTACTAGCTAACTGTATAATAATAAGGTGTGCAGGATAGATGTAATTATTAATGTAATAATGTTCGTTGAGGTCTGATAATATACTACAACTGATGATTAGTTAAGCTCAGTGCTGTCTTAACGTATGAGTACACTGGGTAATTAGTTGTACAGGGGCCCCACGATTCTAGGGGCCCCACGATTCTAGGGGCCCCATGCTGTCATGTTAGCTCTTGGCAGAGTGGATCTGCCAAGAGCTCTCCCGCTGTAAAGCGGGAGAGCTCGACCTCGAACTCAACCTCCCGCTGTAAAGGCCTGGGATTTAAATCACTTTTCATATAATATTTATAATATATATAATTTGTGCATAACTATTTGATGATAATCCTGTACTTTAGCGGACGGGCACGGCCCATTATTTAGGTAGGGGGCTGATGGGACTATCATCTGGGTAGGAGCTGCACTGCATTGCTGTGCCCAGGGCCTACAATGCTGTCAAGACGGCCCTGGTTAAGCTGGGTGTTGGGGTAAAATATTGAGTGCACAGCTGCCCTTGACATTACACTTTGCTCGCTGTGTCAACACCAGATGGGTCTGTTGATGCCAGCGCGAAAAGAATACCTTTCAAGTTTATTCATGTTTATTAACTATTTATATTTTGCATATTTGTTTAGTAGAGGAAAGAAGACCTAACGCCTAAAGGAGTAGCAGGTGAGGGGTGAACGTTGCCTCACAAACAGAACAGTTGCTAGCACTATGGTGAGCCGGGGACTTGTGTGTGGCCGTTCTACGCAATATTAAACAATGGTAACATTTACCAAATTGTTCCCTGTATTGCAATTCTTCGACACATTTATGGGAATCGTTTTGTTACACTTTTCTCTTCATTACTACTCTAGTTTAAACTATAAGTGAAAAATAGCAATAAATACGAGTATATTGTATGATTACTATTGAGTTACAATAGTAAAAGGCAATTATTTGAGTTCCCGATTGGTGTCTCAGGATTCTGCCTGTCAGGGCAGCCATATCAAGTGTTTAATACTAGCAGGAGAGTCACACATTCCTCTGACGACAGCTAGTAGGTGGAGCAGAGAGCTTGCACTTACTCCCATGCAGTCACTGGTAGGCTAAGTTTTAATTGTCAGCCGCTAAATCTTTTCAACTGCCGAACATCTAATGTAATACTACTTTTAGAGAGCAACTTTTGAGCCTGTTTGTAGCTAGTCTCGACTACAGGTAAACAACTTTTCATTTTGGCGAGCCTTGCTTGCTCACTAAATAGCTCATCCCTGTTTATTTTGCCAGTACCCCTGATGATCTTGCATGTCGGAATCATGTCCGGTCTTTATTTCATCATTTTCTTGTATAGTGAAATATAACTCACTCAATCTTTCCTCGTATAAGTTTCTTCTCAGTTCTGGAATGAATCGTGTGGAATATCTCTGAACATTCTTCATTCTAGAGCTGCATAGTCTACCACTGGTCTCACATAGGTAGTGTAAAAGTTATCCAAATAATGCCTCCTTGCCCATCATGTCCAAATTCCTTAATGCTTAATGTATGCTACTCAGCTTCGCGTATGGTGTTATGATTCTGTTCATAAGTGCCTCTTGAGATACACTTGACTACACCTTCACCTTATATGGCGAGGATGAAGAAGTGGATTACCTCCAAGATACCTTAACGATGCTCCAGGGAAGGTTTAAAGTCTCAGTTGGGTATCACTCAGGTAGGTACCAGTTAAGTACTTCCGAGATTCTTCCATATTGTGAGCAACCATGGTCTCGTTGGTAGGACAACAGGCTCATATTTTGAAGCCAGAGTTCGAGCCTCCGATGATCCAGGTGAAACACACTTGACGTTACAGTCCGATACCTTAACGGTGCTCCAAGGAAATCTCTCCTTGGAGAGATTTTCAAGAGAGAGAGAGAGAGAGAGAGAGAGAAAGAGAGAGAGAGAGAGAGAGAGAGAGAGTCAAGGTTCAAAGTCTCTCTATGGGAGGCTGGGTCCGCCTCCTACTCATTGTAACCTACTCTGCATTGTCCGTTCCAGGGATTAGTCGCCAACGTGCGTGTACACTGTGTGGTCTGCATTCTAATGTTCTTTTCAAATTAATAAAGTATTATTTTGCAAAATAATCGGGAGAGAATGAATGAGTGTGTGTGTGTGTGTGTAATTTTTTTTATATTTGTTTTTCTAAGTTTAGTTACATGATGAGAGTAAGTTCGTTGCGTCCCGTCTTCCCAGCACTCTTTGTCATATAACGCTTTGAAACTACTGATGGTTGTGTGTGTGTGTGTGTGTGTGTGTGTGTGTGTGTGTGTGTGTGTGTGTGTGTGTGTGTGTGTGTGTGTGTGTGTGTGTGTGTGTGTGTGTGTGTGTGAGCAGTCAAAGGTACTCTGTTACAAACACTTACGCCACGTAACCCTTCACCCCCACTCACACATAGTATAAATCTGAATTCACAAAATATTACTCTATATATTCAGTGACCTTCAACGAGCATAAAATCTTTAGAGAAATGATGCAATAAAACCATATGTTGCGAGGCACTGGAGAACAAGCGAACACAAAACTCTACTCGGCATGCCTACGTCCTAAATATGCAATGCATGTATGCCCTTGCAAGGTACAAACATGCTTTTTGTAAGTGCAAGAGCCACATCTATAACACCTGCATTCTCTACCTTCTCAAGCCCTCTACTGCTGTTACAACAGTTCTTAGATGTGTCCGTGGCTCATGCCGATACATACATGCATAAAATTGGTAGCTTATAGCTAAATAATCATTGAGTCACAGCCCCGTTCCTGTGCCTGGTAAGTCTACTACGAGCTCATCATAGCCCGTGCTACTTGAGACTTTTGGTTCCCAGCAACTGAATCTTAAACAGCTACGTAGTTCTCATTAAGTGATGCAGATGAGTGACAATAACGTAGGTGAAGATTAGACACCCATCCCACAAATCTGAAAATGAAGAATTGACGATGTTTCGCTCCGTCATGGACCATTATTTTGCCCGAAACGCTGCGCGTACTAGTGGCTTTACAAGAATGTAATTACTATGCTATGTATCCTCACAATCCCAATGTACCTTCTTGTATATATATAAATAAATAAATAAAATAAATTATCAATTCGTCTAATGGGTCCAGGATGAACGGAAACGTCGTCAATTCTTTATTTTCAGATTTGTGGAATGGGCGTCTCATTAGGCTATTATATCACAATGGCAAAACAAAATAATTTTGATATTACTTGGAGGTTAATAGTTGTTGCTATTCTTGAGTGGGTATATTTATGTAAAAGGCAAAAAAGTGTTTTCTTTTTTTAACTAGGCTGCATTGGTACATTAAATGTTGTGTACTGAGGTAATCCTGTATTATGATCAGCCCTGAAGGTGATTGTATGATCATGCACCTCCAGCCTATTATACTAATGACCATACAACTTCTCTATAGACATCCATTTACAACAAGGTTTGCTGCAGAATGTGATTTAGGCCATTTAACTATTATCAAAAAGTTATAAATGTCAGCAGGTAATTTAACAAAGTACTTCGATAAATGGTGAAGCTTGTAAAAAAATGTAGGCAGCTGTTACATTACCACAAGTTGTTACAGGAATATAGCGAGTTGTATTTCATTTAACACAACAAATTTAAAAGAAAAAATCCTATTCGTTTTGCAGTTCTCAACTACAACTAAATGTGCAAATTAGCAAATTATCTATGCATCAGCAGAACTGTCAAAGAGTTCTTTAAACACTGGAGTAATTATCTGAATATTAAAGAAGCAAGTAATGAAAATATACTTACAATAATCCGGTATACCTATTGGAAGATACAGAAAAACTTATGAATTTTCAGGCTGAGATTAGTTACCCTTTGAAAACACATTTGTCCCGTTCTTGTTCTGTACAGTTGTGTATTTCTGTCCTAACGTGTACAAGCCTAGCCCTGTCCTATCCTGTACATGTGCCTGTCCTAACCTGTCATATCCTATACATTTGTGTCCCTGTCCTAACCTGTACATATGCCTGTCATATCCTGCACATTTGTGTCCCTGTCCAACCCTGAACGTATCTGGCATATCCTGTATATATGCCTGTCATATCCTGTACATTTGTATCCCTGTCCTATCCTGCATGTTGGCTGGCTAAGTAAGTCCTCTATACATAGCCTATTTTTAATCACAATACTTCATCTCTATTGTTCCCTAATATTTGCCATATTTAAATTGCTATAAATCTAAATTTACTTTCATTTCTAGTAACCGCAACATAACATTTCCAGCAAATCTTGTCTACACTAAGTTGAGATTATCATGTTTACAGAGAATTAAGAATGGAAATATTCCACACTGAATGAAAATAGGTTAGAGAGGTTAGTTAACATTTGATTATAAATACTTGTATTTACAACTACAATGTGATTCCCCAACCCGTTCTCGCAAATTTAATAAGTCAATATTGACTTATTAAATATGTGCATAGGTGACATACTTAACATAATAGTTTCCCTTGAAAAGCTTCATAGAAAACACCGACCTTACCTAACCGCCTCCTGTGAAGGTTAATTTTTTGTTTTCTTTGTTTAAATGGTAACGTAATACTTAATTCTTGTTTTTGTGGTTACTATACAACTATTCAAGGCAGATTATTGAGCTGAATTTATACAAATTAGAATATAGCCGTTATGAAGTTCCTCATGAAGGAGCAGAGTTGTGAATAGTACCCGAGTGAAACAGTAGACCAGAGTGAAACAGTAGTCAAATGGTCAACTCATGCAGTGAGACACAGTAGGATGTGCAGAATGAACCCAACGAAAAGTAAAGGTGCCATACACCTTATTATAGAAAACTATATTTACAACAAAGAATTAAAAGTTAAGTTACATGTTTTCGGCAAAGTTTTAATGGTTTGATTAGCTCAGGGTTGCATGTAACAGAAGCCTAGCCTCAGGTCGAGCTGCCAGAGAACTTTTGAAAATATTAGGTAATAACAGGTAGAGTTTGACGTGAAGCAGCTCTTTCCTTGAAGTTACTAACATTCCCGATGTTAATAACCATTGAACTATTTTTTTCATATTCAAGGCATTAGGAATTTTATAAAATTATATAACCTTCAATATGTCGAGTCAGAGATCCCAAGAACCTAAGTAGAAAGCATGCCAGAGTATGTTCACCACCTTGAAGAAACCACAAGACACTTACAGCAGAGGTAGTAACGCCAGTCGTGTTGAGAATGCTGGTGCTGGTTCTCATCCTCGTTAGTGATGGCGTACTCCCCCTCTCGCGCCCCACACAGTCCTGCTGCTCCTTTGCCCATTGCGGTGCCCATGTACTGCAGCATACACACTATACACATACTTGACCCTCCACCACCACCACACACCGTCCCACCGTCTACTTCACTACACAGATCTACAAGCTGTGATACATTGGGCTACGATGATTCTTTTTGTTTTGGTTCATCTCTCTTCGTATGTATTAACACGATGTACTGAACGGGGTGAGAATAGCTTGAACTACCTCATCCCTTTGTGTGTATTTTACCTCAATAAACTTATTTCAATTTCAATTTCAAGCCCTCTTCGTAAGTTTAAGATTCATTTACATACATGGTATTTTATGATTTATTACCAGTCATTATATCACTTTTTGCTGCCTTACTCCATCACCACTAAACCGCATCTTTGTCCACTGTAAAAGTTATATTAGGTAACGAGGCTTTCCGCAAGCTGGTGGCCTGAAAGGTGGCGATATAGGATGTGAACATTAGTACAAGTTTCCGACCATAACTGTTAATAGGGTGACTGCAAACTTCACCACAGCCAAACCCTACTGTTTATCAAGCACTTTTACAATCTTCTACAGTTCATGTGTCCTTTTTTATTTTGTGCTTTACTCTCGCCAGAAACATATGCTGTCTACTGTAATGTACCACGAAGATATTACTGTACATCAGTTGTCTTCAAAGGGTTTCTATGGGTGCCAAAAACGGCCGCAGATTGTTGTTGTTTTAGATTTAGCTACTCAGAACGAAATGTCCATGTAGCACGGGCTATGGTGAGCCCGTAATATCGGGGCGCAGGGTCGTGGCAGCCACAAGTACGTCAAGCCGCTCGTTCACCTCTCCTCACCCTGACAACATGGTCCAGTTGCTGGATAACCTACTGTCATTGGTCGGGTTCGAAACTTGGGGCATTATATCCTCACAGGCACGGCGTATTCTTACTTCTCACTCCTAAGGATGACAAAGTCACTTCGAAGAACTATTCGGAAAAAGATTTACACACACAAACACCATACTGGTTTCGTCCTAAAGTATGCTTATGTATGTGAGAAATACCGACTGTTCTGAAGTTCACGTGGCGGTAAGAAATAACTTGCCAGCCAATATAAATTTTCAATAAATGAATAATGTAATATTTTCCAAATATGTTTGCTTCTGTCTGATGATATTATCATCCAGCCATCCCTTTTTGTGATCTTTCCATTGATAATGATTTGAAGTTATTTACTGAGAATTATAGGTATCTAAGATACCGCTCAACAACTTACTCCCCGAAATGGATTAGTGTTGAGTAAATCACAACAAAGCAAGTGTCAGCTTATCTGCACAATAGTAACGAATGTCACCACTCCTGTTGTTGTTAAAGATTCGCTACCTGGAACAAAAAGTTTCAAGTAGCACGGGCTATGGTGAGCCCGTAGTATACCACTCCTGCACACCGCCACCAGCTTCCATTACGTGCACTTAAACGATACACAATTCGTTCTTATCTCTCGCCAACTTGTAAAACACATCTCATAACTCAGTTTCTTTCAGTGGTTAAAATAAGTCTGAAAACCTAACAACAATCTATCTGAAAATTAAACCATTATTATTTCCGGTAAGGTCCTGCTATTCATCGTCCTTCTTATTATTGCTACTTATATTAATTACATTGATTAATTATAATAGTTAAACGCCTCTCATATATTCACCATCTTAACTTCCCCCTAATATCTATCTCAACTTCCCAGGTGCCTAGTGCTATGTAGTCATACTGCCTTGGTGCTCTGTTTATCCTCATAATTCAAACTTCCAAATTGGTGAACATTGTACGTGAAAACGTTTATCAATAATGTCTGCTATTGTATAGTAAGCCACATTTAATCCTGTAATCAAACTTACAAGATATAGAGTAATGCCAAGATTACAATAGTTAAATTATTAACTGATCATTCAAAAATGAAAGATAGACAGTGGCA